ATGGATATTTAGAGATGAAATGTTTTGGAAAAATTCTAATCATTTATAACACACATTTTTTTTGTATAATCTGAATATAAGTTTTGTTATAAAACTATACTTACAATACAAACTACTGTCATGTTAAAGGCGTAATTATTTGGATTAGTGTAATTATAGTATTTTCTACATACTTAGATTTTAAAAATAGTATATTACATATATTAGCTGATTCATTTCAAAATAGGTACTGGTTATTAAATTATGGGTCCCAACATATTATTTAGAAGTAGACGAATTTGTCACTGTCCATCTGGGCTGGAAGCTTGTCAGATATTCCAGTCGTATAAAAAAGTGATATATCTTACAGCCATTTGATTGTCATGAGGTGGTATTATTATACAATTTACATTGAGATCCAATAACGCAGTTCTGCATACTACAGGTATGTTATTCATGAAATAAATATAATCGGAATCATAAACATAGAACATATTAAAAAATGAAGATAAATCTGTAATAGGCCTACATAATATTGCCTGTTGACGTGCCTGCTTTTGACAACATCGACCTCAAACAATTGGCCTTTGTCAAATATATACGTCAGGATATACACGCTCTCGTATCTGCTATCTAAAGCCTGTCCCAATTCTCTTTCATAAAGTGATGACTATACCTGGCTATAATAATTTGGAATACCTTACATAAAGTAATAGCTTAGTCTATAGTAGCATTTTTAAAAAATAATGTATATAATATACAGTTTATTGTAAAAGGAAGTGTTCATGATCAATTTTGTTATAAAACTTTGCTTTGAGACTCACTCATGGTTCGTTGAATGCTAAACCGAATTAATGATTCACAGAAATTTACCGGATCTACGGAATGTTTTCTTGAGTGGAGTTCAGTCTTCTTCACACGAATGCTACATAAGGAAACAATAAATCAACTACTTATCTAACTAGTACCGTAGTTGTGCCCTCTATATCGTTACTTTGCAATTTAATAATTAGGGTCTATTGAAGTATATTCTTTGATATATGTATTGGACTGAAATCGCTAAATAATAATAAAATACCTTTCATAGATAATCTACAATATAAGATTTAAATAAAAAAAATGAGGTCAAGGTATTACTACAATAACATTGAAACACAGATAAACCTCGTATAGTGAAAAACAGAGAATATATTTTTTTAAACATAAATTACGAGCCTCAACTACAGAGCCTTCGGCATCTGACACTGGACACCATAATAGCATAGGTGACACCGAACACCATAGTAATGACATGGAATTGAGCGCTTTCCCTTTTTAAACTATTTCTTAAATTTCTTGATATTTATATCAGCGAAGGTATTATCTATAGGAAATATGTATGAGGTCCTTTTACGAACTATATATTAAATATTCTGTCACCATCCTTCTAATAAACATGGTTATATTGAATCAATATATCAGTATTTTAGGGGATTGAAAATGAGATAAAGATAGTTTTATAGTTGTAATGTCTAATGAATAGTAACTAGCCAGTAATAATAAACAAGTTATAAATGCTGTTACTATTTCGTCTCTCACTATTCATATATAGATATTTAAAGCACAAAATATCATTTCAATATTGTACTTGTAAACATTGTGACAACTTCGAACTAACTCTAAAGACATTAGGGAATTGTTTCTAGCTACCAACAATAAATTGTTACTCGCTATACTTGTCATATTTTAAAAATACTTAAAATACTAACTCAACTTGGAAACAGTGCGCTATCTTGTCATAGTTCCCTCATGAGATGCAATATCGTTATTGTATGCGGCTCATATGTGCCGTCAGTTTGTCTTTTATTATTTTATTATATTAATAGCTACATATTCTCAGTAACAAGCTAAGTGTCAAACAATGTTTGCATTCTCTATGGAGGTTTGTATCTCTAGTTTGAAATAAAATTTATCTATACGTACATAAACAATTGAAACTCAATCATAGTTTTTTTTCCTTGGCGACGTTAACGTAAGATGTTGCGGTTGAATCTGTTTATTGTATCATACCACAAGAGAAAAAATAAAATATATCTTTCAAGATTTAATAACCAGTTCATAGAACATTTTTAAATTGCAGATTTTCTGAATAGTCGATTCTTCTAATAACTATTTAACGTGATACCGTAAATGTAAGGTCAAAATGCCATAATTCACAATAAAATCTCGAACGGTGCGCAATAAAACTCTTTGACCTTACAGATTTCCGTTTCATTAAAATTTAAATACAACCTCATTTTTCAGGAGATGTAGTATCAACTCGTAAATTTGAAAGAGCCCTTATTAAATACATAATGAGCCTATCATTTTCGAGTCCGTATTTCCAGGCCAGTGAAAATAAGGTATAAAAAAAAAGTTTATTTTTTGTATAATTACATCGGGTTGATAGTTGGCAAGTTGCGAGTAATTGCAATAACTCATGAACAAGGATACATGCGGACATGGTTTCTAAGATTTCTGAGGTTTGTGGTCTGTCTGGTCTTATATCTGTACTAATATTATAAATGTGAAAATATATTTGTCTCTCTTAACTATTACTTTTAACTGTTACTTTTTCACGACTAAGCGGCTCAACGGACCGTAACGAAATTTGACTTAAAGATACGTCAAATAATTATTCGAAAAAAAAATATTAGGATTAATTACGAATAAAACTTGTGCAGATGAAGTCGCGGGTAATAGGTAGTTTTATATAATACAGTCTCGTACAGAATATGATTCTGTACAAAGTGTTTAATTTCATTAAAAACAATCACTTCGTTTGCGATCTAACAACAAGTTAATACCCTATCTGAGACTATTAACATAGATCTATTTTCCAATAACATTAAATCAGGGTGCTACAACTAAGTAAGCCCTTTTTATAACCACAGACTTTAAATTTGAAGGATTTATTATTCAGTTATATATTTGTTATTTAATAAATATCTTCCAGTGCACAATAAACATACTTCGTGATTCTGTTAGTTGTAGTTCGCTGATATCCAACTTCATCATTATTCTGTTATTGTGTTCAGAAACCTCGTTAGTTGTTTGTGGCTTAGTTTGTAATCCAAAACTGTTTCTACATTTGTTAGTGGGTTCAGCTCTGGTTTTCCTATAACAAATAACTAACTGTGATGTATTATGATACATAAATGTAGAAGCCATATTGCATTCTCTCACAGAAATGTACGTCGTATTTTCAATTTAGATATTCCAGAATAGATATCTCTTTAGATCTTATACGAATATTGTTTTGAAATCTTGTATTATAATATTTCATATACAGTTTAATATAAAAAACGAAAACGGAGTGCAGTTTTATTTATAAAGTTTTAATACGAGAAAATAGGTATCATAAAAGGTGAATACACAACAAAGAATATCTACGTATCACTGAGTCTATTGAAGACCGATACCAAAGTATCTTATACTGTACTAGCTGTTTCTTGCGACTACGTCTGCTTCTTTTGACACAATAAATAACTCATATACATTTACGTGATGTAATATTTCTAATTTAAATACAACAATTACAGGCACTAATATGGGTAATACTATATGGTATTTTTTTGTATCATTGTTTTTATTAACATCTCTTCTGACGTCGCATTAATGAGGAAAATATTGTAAATGAAGTCACTGTCGCTTTATCATTATTACACTATTTACAGACCACTAATCTAAAATATGTATTTTAGTTACAGTTCAAAATAGTATATGCAACATTAAATATGTAGGTACCTAGTATTGATAATTATTTTGTTTGTCGGGTATTAATAACGAATTATATCTTTTATAAGAATATTAATTCTGTTGAATTTGATGTCTAATATTTATAGTTCATTGCAAAAACTACAATGCATGTAATTTCAGTTTAATTGAATTATATAAATAGATTGGTAATCTTTATTGAAAGCAAAATAAAGTATTTTGTAAATAATGCAGTGAAGTGAGTACGTCAACTTGCATGTTTCTTTACGTATTTCTTTGTTTCTGTAATTATATTGACAGAAATAGTTTTGATAGAATATTTACTACCTATATAGGTACATAAATGATTTTTTACAAAAGGTAGGTGAATACGACCTAATATTATACATTTACATATATGTATTCGTAATATACATAGTCCAACCGGTCGAAGGCGTAACAGGCTTGTTGTAGAAGTAATATAAAAAAATGTTATGGCGTTTCAGTAACTGATTTCCATTTTGCTTTATAGCAGCTATGGCAGCGACTTCCTTCGTACGTATGTTAATCGGTTGAGAACCGTTTGTAAAGAAACAGATGCTAATAATTGCGGGAGGTTTGCTACACAAGTGATTAGCATACACAAACATACAAAAAAACAGTCTTTAGTCCAAATAGCAATATATTAAATATACAAATTATTTTTATGAATAAACGAACACGACTCATTTCCGATCTTATCATACGTATGATTCCCTATATAGGACACATTTTTAAATTTGTCATTTCATTGTCATTTAGTATAGCTCGTCTCGAAATTGAATTGTCAGCCCCAACTCAATCACTTCAGAGTTGAAATCTAGTTATCGTACTAAAGCCCTTGTGGATATAGAGGTTTTTCTCGCCGCGGTTTCAAATGCGCATGACAAGACGTGGCCTGATAGCTACACTAGAATGCGTCAAGCATTTTCATGATGCCAATGGCGCTCGCTTATTTTATTGATATGGTCAACGGTGAGTGGATGTAGAAACCCCTATTTGAATGGTACTTAACCTGTCTTCCTTCGGTGGATTCATGGCATGACGAATTTTTCAACCTACCTCTCTCTCTAGCACAAAATTTCCAAAGCACCTAACTCGAATACCTTCGTCGCATGTCTATTACGGATACATGTCGGGTAGTGCAATGGCTATCAGTAGATCAACAATATGTGAGAACAGTTAATGGTACATATATAGTATGATGGTATATAGATGTAATGCGTGTGAAAGATAATGTTTTATATATGCTAACATACGTAACATACCTTTCTTCGAATCGTATGCTGGAACGGCTTATGTCACTCCAGGCACTCATAGAACGTCCTCGTCCGCGGTGGTAGGCTGCTGAGGTAGCCATAAGGGCTCCTGTTGCAGTGGGTCGCCGCTCGAGCTCCACTTCGGGTGGGAAATTAACTTTGGTAGAGCCGCGTGACGAAGGCCCCTCTGCAGATTCACCTCCACCTGAGAGTTCCATTTCAAAGGGGGCATAATCAGGTGCTTCGTCGGGTTCTCCTTCACTGCCGTCGCTCGCCGCCGAGAGAGCTTCATATCCGTATCCAGGGCGGACGGCGCCGCCGCCGCCGACGGCCGCGCCGCCCCTGCCTTGCCCGCACTCCGATCCTGCAGCCACTCTTGGCGATGCTTCGATTCGACTCAATGACGCCGCTTTTACTGACTGGCCTCGTGTATTCAATGGGGAACTCCTCGAAGGAAAATGGTTGGAGTAACGTAATTTGCCGTGACGAAACGTGGTGCCGCTTTATTATCTCTGCCAATAACCGTGATGGTGTGAGAAGAGTCAAGCTGCTAGTCACTTTTACTTGTAAAAACCACTCAAATCCTTCACTTTTAACCACTTTTAACAGAAATATGAGTATTTATAAGGTTCTGATAATATACGATTTTATTACTACTGCTGCGTCAGAAACAAATACCTCCGTGGATGTTGTTTATACAGTGTTTACCATTATACGATTTAAATTTGCCGCGATAGCCAATGTTCACAATAATAAACGTACACTGCGATACGGTCGATTTCTCACTAATAGCCAAATAACTTGCCGCGCTATTAGCCTTTTAGCCAAGACTGTCACTATATGTTCGAACCAGTGGAAATAAAAAAAACACGTCAGCTAACGATGACGAACGAAAACATAGCCTGATAACAGCAGCCCCTCTTCGACTAGTGACCTTTATGCCGCCAAGCAGTATTAGGTTTTGTTAATGGGGGTGGCTAAACAATAAATAGGTATAGATACTATGTTTCATACATAAGGTATCGTGAAGTAAGCGAAGTATGGAATAGTATAAGAGTGAAGTGCGCACAAATAGCTGTCGGGCGGGGCAGATCAATGCCGAGACCACGATGCCCTTCGGTAGTTCTGCTTTCCACCACCGCAGCGTCGCAGCGCTTTTGTCTTCTCCATGATATAAATATATATTATCGGCGCAAGTTCTATACTTGTCGACATTTAATGTGATATTTCCGATGACACTTGACATTTATAAAGTAATCATTTACTAATTTATGATTATAGTACAATACCATAAAGTAAATATAATATGAAAAATAAAGTAATTATTAAAATAAACGCAGACTACAATTTTATTAAAATTAAAAGAAAGATAATTTTCCCAGAGAACCCTGCAGTTAAAGAAAACTCAAGCAAAACGTTGCATACATCTTAAAGGAATATATTTAATAACAAGGATATGGACGGTTCATGTTATAATTTTAAAAATCAATTTATTGTAATTCAAATAAATATGTTGAGTGAATTATGTAGCATGACGCTATAAGCAAAGAAGGAGAGCAGCAATGAAAAATGTTGTAAAAACGGGAAAACGTAACGAAAAAGTGACGCAAACGAAGTTGAGCGGGTGAACTAGTATTATATATAAGTCAGTCTTGCTTGAATACTGTAATAGCATTAACGGTATCAACGTGATTCACTTAATTAGTTGCGGTGGTTTCGTTTTAATACTTATTGATTATTGAATATGAAGCCAAAAAATACTAATATTGCGTTTGAAGTCAGCGGCGCAGAGCGTCGAGTTCTCGTGTTTAAAGTATTAGTAATAAGTAGTAGCAATATCTTTCAATTACTAAATCATATTGAGTAAGAAATTAAAAAAATTAAAAACAAAGCGGGTATGAATTTTTAACCAGAGGTAGACTATGAACGGTTGTCGGTGTACCTCAAACTTCCTTATATTATTATCAGCCGCTATGCAGCTTGCTTTGTAACTTACTATTCGGTTGTAGGATACAGCTTAGACAATGAAATTACAATATAAGAGAGATCCTCTGATATCGCGGTTGTCATATGATAACGTCAAAACGTCAGTAGTGATTCAAGTTTATAGGTGACGGTTACCCCTTCCCAACTGGTGGGCCGTCAGTTTGTTTGTCATTTCAATTACAAATATAAAAAAACAGATGTATGTAATAACGTAATGTACAATGATACAATCATTGTACTACCCTTTCAAATATTTACTTGAAAGTTAATATATTTATACTTGTTGTACACGCGACTTCGCCCGCGTGGATTTTAACTTTATTTTAATAAATATAATAATTTTTTTTTACTAAATTAAAAGTAGCCTAAGTTACTCCTTATTACATTAGCTACCTGCAAAAAAAAGTTCCGTCGAAATCGGTCCAACCATTTCAGAGATTAGCGGGAACAAACAGGCAGGTAGACAGACAGACAAAATTTGTACAACATGTTATTTTGGTGTATTTATATTCATATGCATGTAGTAAAAACGGTTATTTAGAAACATAATAATACAAACAGACACTCCAATTTTATTTATATGTATAGATATATCAGCTATAGCCTTTGTCGATTAGCCCATCCACATTTTGCTTCGTCATCAATGCCTTGCAATTGAGTCAAAATTTTTGTGTATTTTATTTTCGTGGCCCTAGCATGTTTGTCGTATCCCAAGGGCCACCTCAGCCACACCCAAACCTGTTGTCATAGAGTTTGTTCCGATATAAATGCTGCGCTGATACTCGTAGTTCGCCTCGTTTTGGATCGTGTCAATATTTTACACTATGAATCTGTCTCGTGAAGATCTTTTTTAAATTTTCTTAAGAACAATATTGATATGGTTTACATTGAAATAATTAATGTTAAATTGTGGTCGTGCGAAACTAAATAAATACTCGTGTCTTAATTACAAATTAAATTTCAATTTGTTTAAAAAAAATCTGCAAAACTGAACTATTAGAGAAGAAAACGGCAAAACTGAACTATTCTTTGCCGTGAATAATAAATGGTTGACTCATAATTATGAAGTTGGATTTGATAAACTTGTGAGAAACTCTATTTTTACCTTTACGGCGTTTAGATTTATTGTATAAATTTTATTTTATTGTAAACACAGCCACTTAAATATTGATATCAATAGCGGTAAGTTTTGGTATTAATTTTGTTTCTGTTATAGGGTTACATGAATATTTGATTGTAATTTGATTTATTGTAAGTAGGAACTGTCTATGTATACATATAGCAAATGTGAAATATGAAAGTAAGTTTTCTTATAGATTTCAAAATCAGGACTCCTTATGGCTGGTTGTGCAGACGACATCTGTATATGATTGTATGAATAAAACTTTCAGAATAAGTGGGAGATGATGCGAAAATCATAAACTACATTAATGAAATTTATAAACAGAAAAATTACGAATAAGTTTTAAGGAAGATATCAAATATCTGGTACTATCTGAAAATAAGGTGTTATTTTCAGATACTTTCAGATCATAAAAGATACATAAATATATATATACAGATACATAAAATAGGTGCTATTTTATGTATATAGCAGAGAATAGGAATAAACATTTAACTTTTATTTTACTACAAACTTAACCAATTGCGTTATACCAGTGGGGAAAGATTACTGATAATAAATGGGCCTACTGTAAAAAGTAATTGCATGGTATAGAATCCATGGTAAGATCAGTGGGGCCAAATTTGGTTGTAAAAAGGTAGGTAGGTAGACAAATACACTAACTTTTTTTATAAAATAGATTTTTCATACTCATTTATCTACACAATATACATAGAATTGGATCTAATTATCTATCTCTTTGACCGACTTATATGGAATCATGTACATAAACGTGTTGAAATTGTTCTCAAACCTAAGATGTTATTCTACTTTTGATACAGACTGCTTTATTATTCCTTATTTAGCCTTTGTTAGATTCATACTAGCTCTTTAGAAACATGGAGGAGATTTCGATTTCTTTTCCTTTTCTTATTTATATACTTTGAACCAGTAGCTGGCTTGAGTATATTTAATGTGTAAAATTACATTAATGTTACATATTATCTTAAGTACCTAATGTATTCATTTCAACTAATTTCTTGTAAGAGAAAGCAGTTGGTACCGCTTCTTATTTATAGATTTCCAGATCAGATTCAAATGATGAAATATTCTAGACATCATTAGGTCAAGGTGAGACTAATGTCAAGATCCTAGTACGAAAACTAAAAGCTTGACTGCGGGAAAATGGTTGATGGAATATTTAACGTTTAGTGGATTAGGAAGCAGTGAATATTATTTATTATTGTTTGTCATAATACGGTAGATCTCAGTTTCATCAACGAGTTCTAGCTTATATCTAACGCAAATACTTGTAATAGAGTATTTTTCTATATCTGAATAATTTAATAATTTAATTTAATACAAAACTACATACTACATGGAGGAAGCCAGTTAGTACTTGTATGAAGGGAATGTAAGTTTGAAACAAATTGAAGTAAAGATATTGATTAAACGACGAGAAACGAAAGAAACGACGCTCTTTAGAATCTTGGAGAAATCTCGCTTTATTCTTCTTTATTTATTTATATACCAATACTATTACTATTTATTTTTGACCAATTTTATAGATTATACTAACTAGAAAAATAAAAATATTTAAGTATATTCTGCACAAAATAGAATCGAACTCCCACTATCCATCTCACCGTAGCGCTTATGGTGTAAAGTGTCACGATATTTATTCGATTATTATTTTGTAAGTATTAAAATATGGTAAACAGATTAAATAAAAGATTTTTCAATTTCTAGACATATAAAAATTCCACTGTTCGTCTCTCATGAAAGACTCGATTTATCGGTATTTTCATAAATATCTTCATTTTTTATATTTAAGATTTATTTATTGAGGTAATACTATTAGTATTACCTCAATAAATAAATCTTAAATATAAAAATTAGTAGTATACCATTAGTAATTACTGATTATGATGATACTCTACTAGTATTTTAAAGACAAACCTTCATTTTATACTCTACCTTTGCTGGTGTGCTTCCTTTTCAGAATACGGCTATATCCAGATCTTGCGCCGTTGTCATATTGCAACAATGCAATGCACGAATCAAAAGGAGCATGCACTCAAAAGGCTGCAACTCGTTAACTACTATAAGTCTCTCTAAGACTCAAATAACGAGCTAACAGCGATATTTTTTTTTATTCATTTAATATAAAAAATATTTATATGTTTTCGCTTAGCTTTAAAAATGACGTAGGTATATGTATTTTTTTAATAATTTAAGACAAAAAGTAACATTTAATAATATGTAATAAGAATAAGCTTATGCTTGCTGTTATTTTCATTAACGTCTCGTACATTGATGAGTAGTTCGTTTATAAATCGAGAAACTACGTAAATAGATAATCAGCTGTATGCTCATTGAAGCAGTTGTTTAAGCTTGTTACTGAAGTCGTTTTTGCGCCACAGCCCCCGTATATACAGCATGTTTAATTTCAGTCTTGAATATTAATACGGCTTCGGTTTACTTCCCGCGACTTCGTCCGCGTGGAATTTAACATTATTTTTCTAAAATAAAAGTAGCCTAAAGAACCAAAAATTATTTTGTTCGTCTTAATTTCCATTGCATCATCCCTTATTTTATCCCCATGGGGATTGAATTTATCAAAATCCTATTTAAGCAAACGTCTTCATCATAGCAGCTCCAATCTTTAATTTCAATTCAATCAGTCGAAAATCTAAGAAGATTTATACAAACTTACATCCCCTATTTTATCCCCTTAGGGGTGGTATTTATCAAAACCCTTTCTTAGGGGATGCCTACGTCATAACATCTACCTGTATACCAATTTCAGCCCGATCCGTCCAGTGGTTTGGGCTGTGCGTTTATAGATTACTATATCAGTCAGTCGTAACCTTTGATTTATATATATTTAGATAGTTTGATTCACGGTGCAAATATTTCTATTCATGGGTATTGTTTGTTTCGATCTGATTGTTATCTATATATATTATGTTTGTATTTACAAAAATAATGTATGTAAAACAATGTAACAACTGATACAAATACTTATGTATTTGTATCAGTTGTTACATTGTTTTATTATTATTATTAAGGAAGTTATATTGTTTTAATAAATCTCCCATAGACAGGTATCTTCAGAAAATCGATCCAAGATGGTATCGTATAGCGTGTGTACATTTGTTTAATTTACAAATCAAGAAACTGCTGAAACAGACTGTCTTATATACTTTGTAATATATATATATATATATATATATATTCGCACCAAATTACACGAATTGGATATGTGGCGGACATTCAAACAAAGCTGTAGCGCCCACCCTTGTTAAGACTAACTCAATATATACGTAACTCAGATGCGTCTCATCGTAGGAATTTTAGTTTAATTGGCACATAGTTATGAAAGTAATATTAGAAAATCAAGAATTTTGTAATATCATGAAATGAACACTGCTTGTTTGTTATGAGTATAAAATGGTATTTTCATTTTCAAGCGTCGGATTGCAGTAACTTCCACATATGTTTGGAATGCATTGTAATCATAACATTACGTGTAAAGAAAGACACACGCATTTCAGATCAGAAAGGTGCTGTGATTACTGCGGTTTCTGTTATTTATGCAGATTTATTGAATATGGATAAAAAAAACTGTTTTCTTATTTTTGTAGCAATACAAATGGCTAAGGTAAGCGTTCTTATTTTTATGATTTTGTACTTACAAAGTTTCATTAATACATAGTAATTTAGTGTTCTACATTTATTTACACATAAAATACGGAAATTATGGAGCATTTGAATAAAATAAGTTAATATTATGTAGAGAATGTTAATATTATTTTGCAACAGATATTATTAAAATGATATGTTTTACCACATTGGATAATACATTTTGAACGGCTTTGGACTTGTGCTTGTTGTTTTGATTGGCAGGCACTTCACTTAGTATTAGTAACTATTTAAAAACAATTTCCATTGCTATTTTAAATACTAATTCTACTCATTAAATTCTCTTTGTATAAATTGCAAATATTGTTTATCACTATACAATGTATAAGCTATGTAACCACTAAAATACATAATAAGCTGGTATTGAAAATTAAATATATCAGACTCTAATTAAAATTATTTTAATATTCGTCTGATATGTGTAGATTAAACAGGACAACCTTGTATAAATTCAAATTCAATCCTTCAGTTAACCTAGAAGAACTATTATTGTCTTTATACCAAAATATCTGCTGTGTTTTTAATGTTTCATCTCGTTAAAGCCGTGTGAAGCACTAAATCTTTAGAAGCTCGGTCCCGCAGAATTACCTTCAATCTTTCCAGAACACACTTGACACTGGCAAGCACATCACATGCGAGGAAGTGCTGAAAACTACATGTTATTCCCGTCATACTCTCTTCTTTATTCATTGCTTTGAGTACTATGTTCGTGCGGCCGTGTTTGTTTTAATACATTTTCTCTGGGGTCCCCATTGTGATAATGAATACCTTGTTATTGTGATAATGATACTACATCCAAGTCCCCTTGAAGTTAAACACGTGAATAGAGCACTCTTTTCCATTCTTTGTCTAGTGTCATCATTGTCGGTACTATATGTATAATCCATACCAATGAAAGTAAAAAGGCGATGATTGTGGGACGTGTCTTTAGTGGTAGGTCGCCCAAAGGCGGGAGAATGGTTAAAGGAATTCATAGAACGGCCTTGAAGGAATTCAACTTGGACATTGGTGGAAAAGAGCACAAAGTTAGATTAACAGTTCCAGAGAGTTTTAAATGATGTTATCCTAATTTAATATTATTTCGGATATGTAATAAGTTTTTTTTAATCATGATAAAAAAATTGATGCATAAATTCCGGCAATTATAATGACTGTAACTGTAATACTAGATGGTTAAGAGCTTTACTAACAATAGATTAGAAAAACTACTCACAAATGGGCCATTGCTTCAAAAATAAACATCTTTATTATAATTATTATCCATTAATTGATAAATAGGCTGCTTAATAATTATCATTGTAAAATACTTATAAATTAATAGATATAACTAAATGCCCTTCGTTACTGCTAAAATGATTACTACTACTACTAGTATATAGTAATAGTAGTACTAGTACTAGTATATAATATTATTTATTATATTATTAACTGTGGTACTAGTATTGTTTTCAACCATTCGTTCTATCTAATGGTTGAAAACAATACTAGTACCACAGACAGAACCATCTTCTAATGTTTCTATCACATAATAAGGAAAAAATATAGAGTTATTACTGTAGTTCCAATACTTTTTACAAAATGGTAACAGGTGGGGTTTCTTCCCGTATCGATATTAGAGTGATTATATGCAATTTTAATAAATCAGACTCTTTGTGAAGTGTAGATCCAGAAATAGAAATATTTATTGAAATACAAATAATAAGTATTTCTGAATTGGCGCAATTATAATTTATGTTATGTTTGCAAATTGTATAGAAATATATATCTATATGTATTTAAGAAGAAGAAGAAAGAAGAAGTTTATATATATAATTATGTGTGTATTAGTACACTATTATATTATTATCAAGTTGGGACCATTCAGCGAAATCAAAGATGAAATCTCGTCTTATTAACAAAATACTTATATTATAAAGAGGTAAAGTTGGTGAGGGACATTCGATGTACTGATCCGATTTTAAAAATTTTATTAGTGTTGGATAATCTGTTTGTTGAGGAAACATCACACAACGACTAATAGGAGCGGAGCTGCAATTAAAAATGTTGCAAAATTATGATGAAGTCGCGCGGATCAACTAGTATTTTATAATATCCCTATTACGACACGACATACTAATTGTAGTATGTCGTATTTGTCGTGTTTATCAGTAGTCAATTGGTCTTGTCTGTAATAGTTATAAACGTCCTATAAGCGACCAGCATCAGTACAGTCGAAGATAGCGCAACATCCCACATATTAAACTTATGTTTAAAAAATAATGTATTTTGAACGAAGAATGGTTTAGATGCATTCGCATAAATTTTTTGTATACTGTTTTAAAACTATGAATGTAACAAAATCCTGAAATGCCATGTCTGTCAGTAGCATCGACAATAATGACCACTCAATTCAAATGTAGACGGCGCGGCGCGGCGCCGCATTCTGAGGCGACGTGATATATCTACTCGTAACTGTAGTGGCAGACAGTTTGACATATCGATCCTTACTCTATGACAGAGCAATTTGATTATTAAGCGTACAATTCATAAGTGGTCTTTTTTGAAAATTAAATGAAAAAAGAATTTGAATATTCCATTATGTGTTTTCAAAATGTACTGGCTACTTAAATAACAATTTCATAGTTATTTCTTCCTAAAACCTATTAGGTATTGAAGTTTCTTAAATGAACAATTCAATTTTTTAATGTTATAAATTATGTATGCCTACATATGTGGAAGAATTTTAGAAAGATTAAGGAAACTGGCACTAGGAATTAGAAAACGCTGCACTATGATTTGTAAATCTGGAACGCTCAGCTCTAATTTGCTTATATAAATTAAATGTGTGTTTAATAAAGATTTTCGGAAAAATATTTAATATTGATTTTATTGAAAAAAAAATATATATTTGAGGGGATATCGCAACGATAGACCGTCAATATTTCCAGAAATAATGTTTTTGGGATTTATTTCTTTGTATAGAACTAACATTCTGTGTAAACATTTAAAATTTAAAGCAGACAAAGAACTGTTGCAATTTTATTCTCGTACCTGGAAATAGCAATTTTACAAATATGTTACGTTACGTTTTTTTTTTCAACGATAGTCGGCATACATATATATTTAATATCTGATTTAATTATTAAATTAAATCAGATAAAAACTGTAGCAACTTTATTATTGTATCTAGTTAACACTTTTTTATCATGCCTTTCACATAATATGCCACTGCCGGACTCCCAAAAGAAAAATAACTACGAATCTAAACACCTCGATTTTTAAGCAATATATTCATAAAGATCCTGTATATAATAATAATACATCATCATATCATCATCAATATATCAACATAACAATCTTTCCTCGATTTACAAATACTAACCAAGCGACAAGTCTAAAAACATAATACAAGGTTCGGTGTCGATAAATTAGCAATGGTGTAGAAACATATGTAGGTACACGTTATAAGTGTGTAGTATATTTTTTTTCAAGAGAGCTTAAATTAAGTTTATTTAAATAAAGGATTTCCAATACTATTCTATTCTTTGTTGGCCCTTGATATTCGTCAATAAACGTTCTCTTTCGAAATTAAAAACGAGGCCGCAATAATGCTTTCAATAACAACTAGAGTTGTTAAGATCATTAGTGCGACTTAGTAGTAACTTCCAGCAACGCAATAACTTTATTTATAGGAAAGTGATATTAATATTGAACAGGATTCATCTTGCTTGTTATTAGTGTCAGAAGGGTATTATCGATACGGTTGTACTTTGTCAAGTTGCTAAGTGGGTGTCTCCTCTGTTCTCTGTGTTAGTTTAAGCCGCTTTCCAGCTTGCTTTGTAAGCGATGTGTTGCAAATGAAGCGGATATTTAATTACAATACCAAGTATGTTTGTATATCAGTCTCTACGAGGTTGATAGATGTGATGATTGTAACCAATTATAAAATACCAAATTATAACTTAAATTGTAATTATTTATAATAATTTGAATATAATTAGCGGTGAAACAAATATTGGAGAAAACAGAAACAAAAGACGTATAATTGTAATCTTGGTAACACAACGTTCTTTATTTGAAAATTATGAAATATATGATTAAAGTGATTTTAATAATTATTTTTATTGGAATTTCCAACAGTATGGATGCATGACTCATTGCTTTTCGAATGGCAACGTATGAGGACCACAAAGATCATATATCCGTGGTGCTGTTCATACCTATATATAGCCGACGCTTGATTATGTCCGTCAGCTTATTTGTAATTCTGGATACATAATATGTTATGTATCCAGAATTACAAATACTCGTTGGTTAATTATTATCAACTTTTTATATTTAAAAATGAAATCTATACATCTATACATATAAATAAAATTGGAGTGTTTGTTTGTCATATTGAAATAACCGTTTTTTACTACGTGCATATGAATATAAATACGGTACATACACCAAAATAACATTTTTTACAATTATTGTCTGTCTGTCTGTCTGCTTGTTCGGGCAAATCTCTGAAATGGCTGGATCGATTTTGACGGGATTTTTATAGGCAGGTAGCTGATGAAGGAATAACTTAGGCGACTTTTATTTTGGAATAAAATATTTTAATTTAGAAAAATAAAGTAATATTCCACGTGGACGAAGTCGCGGGTACAGCTAGTAGTAAATAAATAAATTACCCTGGACAATTAACACAGCATCATGTACTCCGACGGTAAGCAGAGCTTGCGTTATGAGCACTAGACAACTGTATGAATACTTAGATATTTTGTGTAAATGTATACATACAAAACAAACCGCTCCTTTAAATAGTATGGAGTTGAAGTGTTATATATCAGAATGATATGAAGAAGCCTAAGGTATACTTACGAAGTTGAACTGATTATTATTAAAGCAGTTTAATTGAATGAAGTGAGTGTTAAAGATTATTATTATATTATTATTATAATTTTTTAGGGATCCATACCAGGGACATTTTTTTGGAAACCTCGCTTGGGTCTTGATTTGGCTATACCAACCACAGGTACCTATGTTTATCTATATGACAGATCGTACAATACGTCTTAGTATTTTTAGATTGAATCAATTAGATAAATAGGATCAATTTAAAGTAACCGGTGAGGTTGTAAGTACTTGGCTAATAGAGCAGTTATTTATATTTTTAGTACCTGATAACTATTGTTACCGCAGATGATGAATAACAATTGACATAGGTACTTACCTACATGTCAGAGTATAGGGAGGAAGTCGGCTACCGTCATAACCGTCGGTTTATTTGGTTTGTAGTCGTTATATATATATTCGAAAACATCATCGGAAAATTAGTCAGAAATATTGTATATGTTTTTTTGTAGGCCAGAATTTATGAATTTATATCAGTTCCTTTAGAATTGAATTCGGGTAGTAGGTATACCACTAGGCGCGTTTTAGTTAATGACATGTTATAAATTGTACTACCTATATTTGAGCTTTCCAGATGAACAAGTTTTAATCAATAGCGTCGTCCTGATACTTTAGTTACTAGATACTTAATTTTCTCAAAGTTTCCTTCGATACCTCCATAAGCTCTTCATTAATTTTTCCCTATAAATTTAACGACTAAAGCCGCTGTCAAACGAAGATATTGATACAACAGGGATTGGTATTTGTGAACAGCACGTTAGTAGCTGTGTAAAACAGATCAGTTTTCATCTCAAATCGGCTTACTTACTACACAAGGATGATCTCATTTCATCCTTGTAAATTTACTCATTTCAGTAGCGCAGATTTTATAAAAAGTCTTCCGCGATAGGTCTATCTTAGTTTTACAGCCGCCAAGTAGTTTTTTTTATAAGCTGTGTTTCGTTATAGACTAAGAAAGGCAGTGGAATTAAACAATGACTTTTTGCCACGCACTACCACATTGTAGAATCACCTTCCCGCAATGGTATTTTCAAACCGATACGATATTGAAACTTTCTAAAAAGAGCTTATTCCTTCTTAAAAGGCCGGCAACGCACTTCTATTCCCCTGGTGTTGCAGGTGTTCATGGGCGGCGGTAATCACTTACCTTCAGGTGACCGCAAACTCGTTTGCCCCTGTGTTAGAAAAAAAAAAGTGTTTAACATGAGTGGTGTCACGAGTACCACATCATATTGATGTCTGTATATATTTATATAAGCAACGGTTACCACTTACCGTCAGGCGGGCTTATCAGCCTGTTTGCGCATTCCAAATGCATAAAAATTCTATTTTTAACTTGTATAAAAAAATTGGGAAATTTTTGTAAGCATGGTTTTTCGGCAAACTTATTTTTAGTAAGTCATTTGTCGTCAATTATTCAACATCTTTAGGATAATAATAGAGAACCATACACTAAAAGGTATATATATCTATTTAATAATATAACACACATAATGAATATCAAATTGTTACCTACAACGCCATCTTGTATAAAAGTGGTGTAATGAATGAGTAACAAATTTTTTTTCTAGTATAAAATTAAATAGGTATTAAATATCAATCAGACAACATTTTTTAGCATATTAAACTCTACATTTTTTTTCATTAAAAATAATGCCATGCCCTTTTTTTATTAGTAATTATATATTATGTTCATTTTTTCTATTTCAGAAGTGTCTATGGGAGTGCATAAACCAAACAAGAATAATATTAGAGATGGATTTGTAGTGTTAATTGACGGCTACCAAGTCGGGGTTACTATAATAGCAGTTGCTGCGAGTGTGTCTAGTGCCAGCACAAATCCACATCTCAACCCTTTGTCCGCTTACTTTTACACCAACATTTATAGATGGGGCTTGAGATATTTCAGTCTGTAAGCATTCATATTTAATGGGCACGCATACATCTGTGACGTTTTTTTTGTAACTAATAAATTAGATGGTAAGAAGTATTAATATTTGTTACTTTTTAGGTCTATATATGACTGATATTAATGATTGTGAACTGCATTTGTTTATAAAAATGGTGCCTGAATTAAAATATATGTTTACTTATTAGTTATTGTACGTTCTGTAAACATTAACTCATGCCGTAATTTTTGTACCTTTTTAATTTCCAGTTAGGTATGTTTTCACACACTTCCTATGCAGATTCGAAATTAAGTGTAGTTCAGGTATATAGACCGTCAGTTTCTTTTGAATGTATATTCCAATTCCTACATAAACTTTACATATCACATAACACAAGAACTCTCAGAAACCATTGCTTTTGTAGTGAGCTTATATCTTGCATTCATATTCAACAAACATTTCAGTCAGACCGAGATCTACTTGCCTAGGTTCCATTGTATTCTTATAAAATATCTTTTTAAAATAGATAGGTAAGTCCCTATTGTTGAATAAAATTATTACAAAGTTCTATGGATTGTTTGCAATACTTTATTGTTCAGCAAAAGCTTAGGAAAGAAAATACTAAGTTTGTTGAGAATTCAATAGGAAATAAAACTTGTAATATGAAATATAAAGGAAAACAAATATAAGTAGTTTGTAACGGAGTCCTTAAGAAATGATTGAATACAATGAAATATTTTCTTTAGTGAATCATTCAGTAGTTTGTACATATACCAGAACGCAGAACGCCAACATCTTATTTTAATACGATTTATATTTTAGAAGTAGGTACTTATGCATACTCAAAGATATTAACTTGCTACGATTTTATTGTATGTAGGTACGTATTGTGTTTAAAAATGAAGCCATGGAAAATAATCATACAGGAGAAAATAAATACAACGTTATATAGATAATGCAGAAAAAAATACTGGAGACAAAGCAGACGTACCTAAATAATAAAGTAAAATTTACATCTTATTGCCCGGTAAATAATAAAATTCTATTTTAATTTAGGTTACCGTTCTGGTTAAGTGGTAATGGCGGTAACTACTGTGACACACATAAAGTTTGGCGAAGACGTTTTTATTATATGGATGAATTTGTACCAGAACTTCTAAGAAAGTTTGTCCCTTTCATCAAGAACGAAGAGTGGGAGAAAGAACAATTGGAATTCAAGAAGTTCAAAAAATATGCTGAACCTGCTTTTGGCAAACATTATCGATACCCCACCAAAGTATTTAGAAATTTTAAAAGTCAAGAGACAGTGGAAACTGTTGAAAATCTAGACGATTCATCAAATTCAATGTAAAGTTTAATTAAATATTTTATATTTGTAATTTTGAAATATATTTATATTTATTTCCTTTTTACCTTAATTGTATTTATTTCCTTTTTTACCATAACTCACGGTGAGTTAGGGTAAACTGATTTTCTAAGTACAACTTGAATTAAGGAAACAGTTGTGAACAAATATACAGGTACTTTATTCAAGTCGTCGCGCCTTAAGTTTTGAATTGCTTTTTGCATTCTCCCTATTTTTTCTTTCAAAAGGTAAAGCTGTATAGGCGGTATTACAAACTTCGCATTTCACATAATAGTTAAAATTATGAAGCTTGAATTTCATTTATATCTTGTTTATAAGTTATTGTACCTTCTCCTTTCTTTACTTATGGAGATTAATAAAGAAATCAAGCGACAAGCACGATGATAAATCAGGTGTGGTAACCTTCGTCCTCTACAAAACATACGCTGAAATTACAATTAGAAATATTTCCTTTGATTTATTTCAAAAAGATGTGTCAACATGACGGCCTCGGTTGTATAGCGGTTTACTTCCGACGGTTGCAGGTTCAATTCATCGCACGGTACAAACATTTATATTCATGAGTATGACTTTTTGTATTGGTCTTGGTGTTTTCTATGTATGTGGAGTATGTATTTACAAAAGAAACATAAATATAATATATCATTTGTTGAGTACCCATAACACAAGCGCTGCTTGCTTCGCCTTGCCTACTAGATGGCGCTGTGTTCATTGTCAAGGGTTATTTTATTTCATAAAGATTGTAATTTATAATTTTGTTTTTGGTTTGAATAAATTCTTTACTTGTATAGTAATATGTTACGTTAATAATGAAACCATTTAGTAACTTTAAATGTCATATAGTTTATTTTGACAAAGTAAAGGGTCAAGTACGGTGGAATTGATCTATATAATCTTATTAATGGATGGATGGATGTTTGTTACTCTTTCACGTGTTTGTTTCAAAACTACTGAACAGATTTTGATGCAACTAGAGTAATATAGCGTATACTTTACATTTAGGCTACAAATTTCACGCGGGTTAAACCGCGGGCACATCTACTATATATTATATATAAATATATACCATATTATTCAACACTATTTCGGGGACAAACTTGTGTTGTCTGTCGTAAACATAACAACTTTAAGCCTGAATAACAACGAAGTATATTAATTTTCTATACTTTCGTATCTGGTTAGGTATGAAATGAAAAAAGACATAATAAAAAATTTATTTATTTTTATATTGATGGTTAATATTAAAATCATCTTTGGCTATTCGAGTACACAAAAAATTGTTTTATCAAAATGTGTTATCTTGTTAAAAATTTATATAAAGTAAAGCGAGGCTTCTTATTTCTTATAATTATAGTATAAAATATAACTTAACATACAATGTCATGATATTATTATTAACTATGAACTAGTCAATAGGAGGTACGCATATGATCTAAAATTGAAAATATGATCTGTATCTCTGCCTACCAAAAGTACTTAAAACTATAATAATAAATCTATAATGTCAACACAAATATTATTGTTACATACTACTAATATCGTCAAGATATACGCATGTACACATAAAAACACCTATCTATATTCATTTCACACATTGAGTATAAAACAATTATTTTTCGTATTAACATTAAAACATTCTTAATCTAAGGAGACCAGCAGGTTGTTTTTTGCAATGGAATTGAGAAATTGCTTATTCTTTCTCAAATGTTAGAGAAAAGGAAGTTAAGTATATTCCCATGTGTATTTGTGACAAATATCTCGGATATTACCTTAAATAGGAACCATGATCGCTATTACCATCGAATTAATGGAATATATTATGTGAGACTTCAGTTCAATTCTATTTTTCTGCGGCAGAACAACTCGATCTATAAAAAATCAACAGAAATACCAACAACGTAACGTATATATTTGTATAACTATGCGGAGTATAATCTTTTTTTGTGACATGATGATATGACTTTAGTCTTATTATAATTTAGATATGCTCAGAGTCTAATGTATTCAACTAAATCAATGCGTGAAATGCTAAATTTTCTCTACAAAATCATTTACGGATCGACGAAAGAGATCATAATGTATCTTGTGCCTGCGGTGACCAGTAGTCCCTCGTGATAGTGCGTGAGCCTTCCAGGGTGCATGAGGAGCCAGCCTTGCTTGGTATCGCGCACTGAACAGTTGTACCGGATGAACCGACACCCGCCTCCTTCGTAGTCCAAATCTGAAACAACTCAAGAAGTTCAGATTTAATTCTACAAGAATATACTACAATATTCATAAAAATAGTTGTCGGTATTTAGCCGACAAGCAATTAGCCCAAAATATTTAAACTTTGGTAAGAGTCCTATAACATTTTCTAGGTATTCTGGAAGAAATCTCTTTTTAGATTTGAAACTCGCCCTTATTACTTTTATTTTTTTCCTATGTGTGTGTACTATAAAGAATAAAGAAGGTCAACAGTCAACAGAGCGTAATATTAATTTTTAAAATAGCCATATTTTAAAGTACTTAAGCATTAAAATTATATACGTGAATTAACGGAATGTCTTGATTTCGAGGGTTGCAGTTGAAATCGAACTGAAGTTGGGTTATAAAATATATATAATATTGTTCTTAGTTAAAGGTATGTTAGCTAAAATTTCAATTATTGAGTACGTACGTGGCGTATTGAGAGCTAAGTTGATAGTGTAGGTGGACGAGTCGTGGTGTGGTCGCAACGATGGCTGCTCATCGGGGCGGTAGCGTACTACGAAGTTCATGAGGGATACCGGAGGCTGTAAACAATGGTGCAACTCTAAAATGGTGGTAAACGTATTTAACAAAGAACAAGAGGCTACTATAGACAATAGACAATGTTAGAACTCTTGATACGGCACGATGAATTTATGAAAATTATTAGTGGAAAGTGGCAAAAGCTCCACCGACAAGAGCGAGGGTCTTAAATTATGAATTAATGAATGATTTACGTACAAAATTGTTCGTGAACAAACGAATGAATGTGCCTAACTTTCTCGTGTGGTCAAACATTCCTCCCCAGATTCACGCCATTCAAATTTTTTATTATTGAAGATTAAAAATGCGACTATATCCATCCTCGTGATACAATCTATCTTCATGTCAAATTTCATTAAGATCTGTTCAACTATTTAGAAACGCAGACAGACAAACAAAATTTGGCATTTATATTATTAGTATGAATATAGTAGTTTTCTCATAGAATATTAATACATTATTCTTCAGTTTGATAGTTCAGGTTTACAGTCTTCTGATATATCATAATTGTTAAGGAATATTTAATTTCTCCAAATGATACTAACATTGTGGAAATATCCTGTGAACACCATCTCCTGAAGTGGTCTCACATACTCCTTCAGGATGTATAGCCATTGTTTGTCGAGTCCCACTTGCTTCATGTGAATATCACGAGTAGGTACTGCCTCATATCCACCTTCAAGACGATTATCCTGGCAAGTAAATAATTATTGCACCCTTAGTTGTAAATGTAAAAAAAAAATGATCTGTTACCATTTTGACATGTTCATACGCGACTCTTTTGGTTAATTTGCGACATCATCAAAATAGGTGTTGTATAATTAATATGATAGTTGTTTGTATAGTCTCTGCTAAACTAATAATATACTATTGTAAGAATAAAACCAAAATTAATTTGTTTAAAATAAGCTAGATACTATTTAGTAGACTATTCTTCAACATTGAGTTCCTAAAATGATCTGAAATTTATAAATATTTATAAATTTTATGAAGTAATCTCATACAACAAAATGAAGCTGATTTTAATAGGTTAAATTCCGAAATTTCAATTAAAAAATTATCATTCAGTTTACTCTTGTAAAATTAGTGTTAAGCACAGTTGTACACAAAATTTTTAAAGTAATGTTTACAATGGTTTAACGCTTTAAACTTTATAGGACGTAGTAAAAAGTAATGTATTCTTTCAGCCATGTTTAACTTTTACGATTTCACACATATTAAAGCATATACATAGGCTAAACTTTGCACTGTTATACATTTTCCATAACATATTGTATATTACAATTATATTAAAATAAAACTTACGCTGTTTGACCCGTCGCTCCACTGACCGTAAGCTTCCATTACATCAATCCACTCCGTACAAAATCTTGGTGACATCATTGGGAACCAGTATACATCCGGGCAGGGCTGTCAACAATTATATATATCCAGTATCCAAGATATTTATTCCAGATTATTAAGTTATATTATATATAAAATTTATATACAATTATTTTTAAAACATTGAAAATAATGGAATAAAAAAATATTATTAAAAATATTAATGGATATAAATACTAAATAAGAGTTAATATAATATTTTATTATTATTAAATATATAATATTCGCTTTTAATTTATATATATTCTCTACAGTAATTTTGTATAGGCCTATACCAAAAAGTTTCTGTCTTATATTATACTTAAATGCCTGATTTGTATAATACTAATATTCTTAGACAATTTAATGTAAATATTTGATATTATGAAAATGTTATTTCTCAACACCTGCGTAATAACAACTACATAAAATTAATAATCATATTGCCATTGTTTATGTAATTATATTAATAATAAATACATAAAAAAACTATGCATGTCTATCCATAATATTACAATATTACATCAAAAACTTTCATTATAATTTGTGTTAGTAACGGAAACTACTAAAGAATGTTTATTATAATTTATATAGTTTTTAAATCTTGGAACTGCGATCATTAAACATTTTTGTTAAATATGTAATGCTAATCTAACAATACTGACCATTAAGTGTTTTTTGTCTGGAGCAAAATTGAGAGAGTAATTTTCGTTGAGGTAACGGTTTTCCCACTCAATCTTATTGTCATACACTTGATAAACGTCAGGGTGAGTGCGGCTGATGTCATATGTTTCGGGATTCACAAGATGGCCGAAGTCCAACTCGTTGCTTACATGCATATGTATGCCCTGTTAAATATGTAGACTATAAGATTTAACAAGTATTAAAGATTGGTAGGTTGGTTAGGTTGGTTCGTATCTGTCTATTACGTAACACATAAACAGATGAATAGCAATCAATTCATATCTATCATTAATCGGCAATAAATTATTATTACTGAGTATACATTTTATGAGAATAATGGTATAATATGTGTGACGAATTTAAACAGATATATTACTACTATATACTCTGTAATTTCGCTACTACACGTTATTTTGCAACAAATATGTATATTTATATTAGTCGGTTCTGTCATGAAAGAGAGATTGAATTGACGTTTGAATTAATTGTAAATGTTTTAGCACATAATGTATGTACGTACAAGTTCTCTAAGACTGAGACAGAACGCCATGTCTGGATCCAAATCTTCTTTGGAGTAGGTGAGCAGCTGTGCAGGTTTTCTAAACACTGATACTTTCGCCAGGTAACAATTAGTGATAAATGGTACATTCCATACACCTCTGAAAGTAATAGAGTAATAATTAAGTGTTACAATAGATAACATAAATAATTATGGGATTGTACAGGAAACGCTCCAAAATAAATAGAGCTTGTTTATTGAATATTCATTTCTTATAAACTACATTTGTTACAGCGTTGAATGCTTTAAAGATTAGCAATATCTGTATTAATTATACCTGTATTACTTAAATAATAAATAAAAATAAACTACCTTATTTGATTGATCATTTTAATTTCGGTCTGAAGTGTAGTAAAACAATAACCGATATTAAAGAACAAGGTTTATAAATCTACCAATAAAAAAGCACGTTGATAATGTCATCGTCACTGTTAGCCATTAATAATTTTTATCTTCCGATCTTTCTAAATAACTTAAACTCTATTTTTCATTCAGTTTCATAAACCACTATAATATTATTGCAGCACTGTATAATATCTGATTTACTTTGGCGTTTTCATTTATGACGCTTTTTCATCAAGTCAATCCTCATTGTTTTATTTCGGGAGTCAAATTTTTTCGTCGAATCACATTAGAACATAAACACCCAATTTAAAGTATCGCCGTCCGAAATGCTAAAGGAAATGATGAGTGCCATATATCAAATAGGGGGAGACAAGGGCCCTCCTGCGAGCACCTCCGTCATTAGTCAATTGAGAAATTGGCGCGGAGAGAAATCGCCGGCACTATCAGTTGCAATCGGACCCCTCACAAGAACATACCAGAACGACATATTCCTAATTCAAATATTACATGGGTTTCGAGTGAACACGTGTTCTTCAAGACGTCCAGATGCTGCTGATGAGGGCAAAGTTGTTCTTAGGTTTACTTGTGCTGTATTGGTTCCTTGCTTCGCCGGCGGAAGCAAGACGTGGCCGCGCCAGAAGCAGAGCCAGAAGTAAGGTAAACCTCACTCAGATTTCGAATAGAGGTGAATTATAAATAAACCATATTTTAATTTGTAAATGTCCATAATTTATAATCTACGGTCTTTTAATTAATGTCTCTTTTTTTAATATTTGAGATACAGTTAAGAAAGTCAGTCAAAAAGTTACAGAAACTCTTAAATAGGATAAAAGATGTTTGGGGTAATTATGCATAAGGAAATTCTTGATAATAAGTAATATGGCTCTATGTCTATGTCTCGCTTGAATATAGATAATGCTTAACAAATAATATTCAAACTTGGGGCCTTATATTTTCAGGTACAAATTGGTTTACCTATTACTGGAAAATACAGAGATCCAGAATCAGATCAATATTACAACAATAATGATGTAAGTATAAAAAAAATAAGTATCACATACTAACATGAAATGAAACTGTATATATCAATTTGTATATCTTTACTATATTGATAAGATAATATTAAAGCACTAAATCAGCCTTTAGCTACAGCGAACGTACATTACGAGCAAAATTTGTTAATTATAAACGATGACTATGACAGTGTCGAACGTCTGCCAAATGAAAAGATTTAGGGCAAAGATCTATAGTGGTAAGATCAACAATCCCACTGTTTACATGACTACTATTATTTTCATTTCAGGGAGCGAAAATTCTGCTTGCATCGCACTTTGATCTTGAATACGTGTTGGGGCATAAAATAGCTTTTTTGTGCATAGCCAAAGGATCGCCTCGACCACATATTACATGGTTTAAGGACGGAGTGGAAATATTTGCTCACCATTACTTGCACGTAAGTAACAATGTAATTGAATATGAAGAACCCGAATCATAAGTGACCTATTTGGTAACATTGATATGATAGTCAACTATTATCAAATATATCTCAATCGAATGGATGTTTGATGATGTTCTGGATGCTATATGATATGAGAAACCCAGAATAAAGCAGTCTAATAAATTGTACCTAATAACCATTACGTCAAACAAAAAAAACACATCATAATCGGTCTATTCGTGTAGGAGCTACTATGTCCACGCAGGTCAAACGTTTATATACATAGTATTAATCTTTTGACCCCGGAATTTAAAAATGTATTTACAATTGTAATTACATTTATTGATCATCAAAATATTCTGAATACTTATAGCACTTAAAGCGTAATCATAACATTGGAATCACTGGAGAGCGGTCAATAAAGCCAATTATCTCGGTAGGCAACAGTCCTATCGGTCAACGAAATATATTGGTATCTCTCACTACGAAAACCGCGGCCCACTCAATGATTTTTTATGTAGGTACTTACTTATATTTTTGCTGTATATCTTATCTGTACTAATGTTAATAAAGAGAACTAATTTTGTTATAAGGAAATTTAGAATCAATGTACCAATTAAGATATTGTATCACGGTTTTAATATGATGATCAAAGTAAAGCCAGGCGAGCTACTGGTACTATATAAAATGAACTGTGTAAACAATTCAATTTATATTTAACTATGAAATTATTTCAATTTCAACATGCAGATCCATGAATGGCCAATAGGAGAGGATCGTGTGAAGTCGAAAATTGAAATTGACCCGGCGACACAAATGGACGCCGGCGTGTACGAATGTACTGCGGACAATATGTACTCTATTGACCGACGTTCTTTCAAAACAGATTTCTCCATCGCCTTCGATTGAACGAGATGGCAACTTTTAAGTATCAAAGACAATCGATTGTCTGACTTCTTTAAAGTTCTGGTTTAATAATAAAAATATTTTTGGTTTATAATAATGGTATGCTAATCAAAGACATTACATACTCGTATATATTGTATTAATTGGTATATAAATTATTGCAAACAAATGCACCATGTATTAAGCGTTACATACCTGATAATTTTATGTACGATGTCCATATAATCAGACGATCTAGCATAAAATCCAGCAGAATTGATCGCGCCCCAGAAGTTAGACCACGCCTGGCCAGGCCGCACCAGCATGGGTGCCACCACATCATACCCAGAAGACAGCAGATAGCGCAGAGTAGTTGGTTCTAGGCGAGACACGCTATCGATGGAGAACACGTAGTCGCATACACTATTGATGCAACGATCTCTACAAAAGAAATTAGAGTATGAATGAAACATACGAACACAGAAGCTTCAAAAATTAAAAAAATAATTGATTATCAATTAATGCAACTTATCGTGAAATAAAATTGAAATGATTTTTTATATTTTCTTGTGTTGAAATTAAAAATATTGGAATATTTAATTTAAAAATTGATTTACTGTTGAAAGAATACGACGTATAAAACTTGATAATAAACTGTTTTATTTCAATCGCATATCGCATCCCAGTTGACTTCCTAGTATAAAAGTAATAATTGTTACGTCGTTTATTTATTATGGTAGAAACGACGCGACGTGAACTCTTATCAGTTTTATAACTACATGTACAACTAAAAATAATCTTGTTTCTATATTATACCGTCCACTACAATGTGTAGGTATAAAAAGTTCGCTTTATAATGTGCTACATAAATAAATAATGAAATAAATAATGGTCATTATCATGAACAGTGTGATCATACTTTGCAATGTTCCTGGCTTCAGATTCAGAGATGAAGTCGTTCGGTTTAATGCGCTTAGCTGATGCAAATTTCTTAGAGTATGTCTGATAGAACTCATCAACTTCAGTTTCATGATATTCTACATTGTTCCTTAGGAAGAGATGAATCTTCGATTTTGGATAATCAGTATCTAGTAATTGTTGTAGGAACTCCTCTAAAAATGGCGTAGCCTGTTCTATAAATACTGCCATCATGACGTCAGGCAAAGCGTCTTCCTGCAAGTAATATAATCAATGAATATTTATTAATTTATATGTGTAGTACCACAACCGCGTGTGTGTGGCAGACAATAATTGTAGTACGTTTTCTTCATCTCAACTGTTAAATGTATGCTAAATATCATGACCCTTAATTAAGCTAGAAAAGCGAGAAAGAATAACAAACAAATAAACAATATTATGCATTTTTGTGTTAGTACTTATCTACAGGGTTGCCTCTTTTGGATGTACCTGCTAAAACTATTGCAAAGAGATCCACCAAAACATATGTATACTAAAAATAGTTGATTTGGATTCAATCACTTATTAAGAATATATTTAGATACTTTATATTACAGAGTATACGAATTTTATGATCTATAAAGTAATGTGACTATTACACTTACATTAAGTTTAATTTTTTTCTCGGAACACAGTTCACAACCTTTGCTGAATGACCAGGACTGTGCTAAATAATTGCCTAGTTGGTTCAGCGTGAGTTTAGAAGGTCCGTTACCATGAACAATGAGAGGACGCTCCTTGGTAGCTACATTCTCAATGTACGGCCATTCCTCGGTTGTGTTTATTTTCAGTTGAACATCAGCTACAATAATATATGTAATGGGTGAGAGGTAAATAAGTTGGTATCTAATTAGAATAATAAATCTGTCATAAATAACTAATTTGTTCGTTACTCACACCCTAGTAAGATAAACACCGTTAATAAACTTAAATAATAAAATAAAAATATAGTAAGGCTTTATGAAGGCAGCTAATAGGAGAACAAAATATTATTGTGCCTATCTTTCTGTGCAAACCAAATAATACTTAAATCGGTTTTATATTTAAAATATAAAATGTATGGTTATTTACTTACACAAAGCTCCATTCAAATTTTGGAATATAGCAGCATTATGATCGAGAGACATTTTCAAAGTTTGTCTCACATTTTTGTCTAAGTAAATTTTTGTATAATACAACTGGTCATCGTCTTTATCATTGATCGGTTTGTAGTTGACTATCTCCGAAAGCTCCGAAAGATACCCTAAAAAATAAATTAAGAAACACTTTGTATGTTTTTATTAAGGTGTTAAAACATAATTTTGATTGCTAGCACATCTGTTTATAAACGAAGAAAGTAGGACAATGACTCATGAAATAATAAACGTATGGTTTGGTGTTTGTAACATTTGTGGCCAGTCAATACTATTGTCATGATCAAATTTAAATAGCTATATTGTTCTGTAGTTAGATGATATAGATTAATTATATAACATGCATGGACTGAGTGTTTATGTATTTAGAACTGTAACAATAGTGAACGTTTTATATTAAAATTCGTTATCTACAAATAGACTTGTATGAGAATGAGATGAGAGAAATCTTTCATTGTGTGTAACATAACATATGCAAAATGGCATCTTAGTGAAGTCATTTTAATACATAATAATCTAATTAAACTCTGTACAAATCGATTCTATTACAGTATTAAATTATAATATAATAGTATACTGTCTCATAAAGAATGTAAAAAGGGGAACCATTAAATGTGTTATTTCTATCCAAGGTTCTCCTTGGATAGAAATAAAGAAAGTTGGTACATAGATTTAAACAGATGAATGTCTGTTCTGTCTGAACTGTTGTTTGCAGTAGATATTAGTGGGCACTGCAGTGACTTGGGAAATGCAGATTACGTACCCATATGGACTAATTCTATAACTGGATGTGATAGGACACCTCTGATAACTTAGCTAGTTTTATTAAATACTGAAATATCACAAATTATATAATTTATTTTGGCATATTCACTTGTGGCACTTAAACAATTTATTGGTTTTGCTTTATTGGTTACACACAGTGTGGTATTATGATGTACACTTTGTGTACAACTCTTAAGAATTAGACAGATGGGGCCATCCAATCTATATATTAATTTTGTCTGCTAATCTAATTATCTGACTCATGAACGAATTATCTGAAAAGTAATATACATCAGGTCTATGCTGATTGTTTATTTTTTTATGGATAATTTTTTAATGGGTGCACTAGCTTGCGCTAAAGGTATACGCTGGCGGGACATCAGTGCAGGATGATAAGATAAACATGAGGTCAGCCAGCCTATCCTGACAAATGCATCATGATAGTTTCCAAAGGGAACTGCATGAAGGTCAACCTGACTTGGTACATTGCTGGTGATGAAGTCCACATATCTAAAAATCCCTTTCCCCCAATTCACCACTTTAAACTGACCGACCTTCATGGTCATCGATAATCCTCCACAGGTTCCTTCTTAGCATATATCATTGGTCATGATGATCTTATTGAAGTGGTTGATAGACATCAAAACTCTAACATAATGTTTTAATAACCATGTGTTGTATAAGTAAGCATGAGTGTTAATTGAACAGCCATATTAGATTATGATTAAATTTAAAATACTAGAAATGTATGCAGAAATTTATTTACCAATAAATCCACCGGAATTCAAATAGGGATTGGCAACTTCAGTTTTAGGATATTGAGAAGCCAACTTGCTATCTGGCCAACAAAACTGTTCTGCAGAGAATAACACCCTAGTATCAGGGAATGATTTAAATTTATTCACAATTGCTTCAATGTTTCCAAGGAACATGACATCATAACTAAAAAAATTAATAATGTTAACTTAGAAAATAATATGGACATGATTTACATACATACATAATTGCTAGAGCCATATTTTTTGAGAGTTGATACAATTTCAACATTGTATCATAAGAAAAAATAAATTTTACGAACTGCTTTGAAAACTGTGGTTGTGGTAGATATCACCTTAAATCTCTATATTTCTCCTAATGTAATAAATTATACTATATTTAAGGAGTTATATGAAGTCAAAAAATTACACATAAAAATGTTTATTACTCTATTATAACTCCATAATATTTATAATTAATATCAGAAAATACAAGCATATATCATACCATGACTTCCAAAATTCATGATTATTAAATTGCAATTTTTCTGCAATATGAACTAAATTCATTAAATAGTATATTTTATTTACCTGTCCGTAAATAATACTAATTGTTCCTTATTTTTGGATTTCATCATATCATTTAGTTTATCTTTTAGCAAATTCACTTTTTGGCCACCACCCGCATAATTCATATCACCACCATTCCATTGTTCTCCTCTGCCAAGTATCTCCACATCAATGCCATAGACTTTAGCAGATCTAAGAAACCTTTCTAATCCATGGTTATCATCTGTTGCCACAGTCAAAACAGTGACATCATCTAAAAAAATACAAAATTGTGTTTAAGACAATTAACACTAAACTTAAATTATGCATAAATCATAATATTAAAAAATATACAAAATAATCATAATATCAAAATAAAGCATGAAGTTTAATTTATTATCGCTTTGCAGTGAGCATAGAAAAGTTAGGCAGTTGTCTACTATAGTGTGTACTCAAAATAAACTAACCTAAAATGAAACAAATATAATACATACAAAATTAATTTTATTTTATAAAAGATAGGTAATTAGTAAATATTTTTGAAAGCAGACATCAAGAATTAATTATTAAGTACTTATGTATCAAGCAAATGCAAACTTTCATTGAAAAAAGATGAAAATAAAACTAAAAAAATAATACAGTGTTTGAAAATATTAAACAGAGACATAATTTTATAAATAATCGCCAAAAGCAAAATTTTGAAGAAATTATAAAATATTGGAAGATTTTTAGTATCATGTTCTACAGATCTTAATAAATAAATTGGCAATTTTAAATTAAAAAAATAAGACGGAAATAAAAATACTCTAAATTAAAGAAAATAAGGATTAAATCATGTTTTATTATACTCAAATGAACAAATGTTACTACAATAAACCTCAGTTTTATTATGTGTAATAATTTAATTTCAATTCTAAGATTTTACTCTTGATAATATAATTTTCTCTCACCTGCATTTATTAATTGACTATTTAATAAAATTACAATTGCAAGAAATTGTTTATAAAACATTATGTTTCCAGAACGTTCCATGACCGAGTTCAATGGACTTCCGCGCTGGAACATGAACTATGGCTCGTAAAAGCGCGGCCAGCCAGCCTAAAGAAACGTTCGTTTACGGTTGGTCCAGATATTATGTACTCTCGCTTCCGAACCGATAAGATTTCATCACAATACGTGACACTGGGAGATAACGACTATTTACTCCCGCAGTCCGATCCTGACTGACTGTGTTATTTAGCTAGTTTATAGAATGAGATCATTGGCGCACAGATGTTTTTCTATTGAATTTCATTGATGAAACGTTAAATTATAACGTATGACAACAAACAGGAGCCGCTAAGATTACATGGACTAACTATTCACTGAAACGAAACTGGCTTAATTCGTAAATTAAATATCCCGAATCTTTTGTATTAACACTGATATTATTTTAAATATAGATACATGTCGCAGATGATTCACCAGAATATACGATAAATAACATAATTGAAAATTAAAAGCAAAAAATAAAATAAAGTTTCGTAACTGTCAGTTCTGATGTCAATGTCATAACCACATACTGACGCGTGACGAATATACTAATTTGCGCGAAAATTTGTAAGTTTAAAGCAAGTTAGATTACATTATGAAATTAGATGTTATCATACATTATCAATTGCTATTTTTCTGTTTTTACGTGGTGTCGTGATAGAACAGTACCTACACGAGTTTTGAAGTACTCACGTATAACGTTAAACTCAATGTAATGCACGATTATATGTAGCACAGTATAATTATACGTTCGTTGAAGACATGGGATCATAAATAACAGGAAATTGCAAAGCTTATGTTTAAAATTAGAAAGAGAGAATATTTTTTTTAATAGGTAATGAACAACTCTATAAATATGTATTAATTAAGTAACTTATTTTAAAAATAGAAAGGTACGTGAGGATGTATTTTAATTTATATAAAATTTTAATGAATTTTTTTTTTCCCATATTCGTCCATCTCCTTTTCAGTGATGGAACAGGCAAAGATCCTTAGACCGTACAGCCTAATTGAATGAATTTATATGAAATTGAAATCATAATAAATGCACCCGTGCTTATCCAGGGCGATTTGCTAGTTTAAATACCGATATTAATTGCTTGAGCTTTCACTAAATTAGATAAATAGTCGATAAATGTATGTTAGGTACATACATTTATCGACTATTTACATGAGATATGTAAATTATGTGCTTACCTTTATAAAATAAATTGTGTTGTTTACAATCTTCATTTTCGCCACTTTTAGTACAAAATTCTTGCGACGTAATTGCGGGTCTTAGTGCTATCCACATAGCCAGTATCCAACAACAACATTTAAGTGGAAAACACCGATGTCCCAGCAAACCCATGTTACCATTAAAGCCTTCAAGACAAGACTGTTGCTACTGGAACAGTAATATCTATCAAATTGATTATAACGGAAAAGTGAGAGTTATTCTCTATTGAACAGTGAACTGCAGAAAAAACTTAATATACCGTGAAATGAAAGTGTCAGACGAAATTGTAACAGAGAGGTTTGGACACCGTAAAGTAACTGAATATCTATTTGTCTGCATTTAAGAATGTTTTAAATTATTTAACAAACAATTCTGCTTTTACAAAATTCATTTATAATTAATTTAAAGGAAACTGTCACACACTGAACACACGAGGAAAAATACCTACGTATGTAATATCTCAGATAAGAGAATGATAGTTATACATATTAGCTATGTAGGTAAATATCCATATCAACAATGTTATTCATGATTTGTAAAGAGATATAAATAGGTAAGTATATTAAACTAACTGTTACTCGCGACTTTCCTTACGATCGATATCCGTCCATTTCAATCGGAGTTCGAAATTTCGACGGCCTGAGGCGAGGTCCGAACCCTCTAGTGGTGCCTTCAGTCTAAAGGCGTATTCATCTATATTTCCTGCCGTGATTTTGAGTGCTATCTGCACTCGGCCTCGCTGTAAAGGCCAGCAGCGGCCAACAGCATTAGAGTAGTTCAAAAAAAAAACTTTGTCAGATTTTTTATATGAAATATAGCCGGTGCCCGTTGTCTTGATACAATCTATGTTTACGACTACCTAAAGTTTCAGTAGAATTTGAATAGTCCAATACATTGTAGTGAGTAATAATTGTGTAGACAACATCGCTTACTTATTTATCTAGATTTTACGAGTGCTTGTTTTATTGTCTACCTAACACGCGTTGTTTCTAGCTATCGTTTAGAAAAGTCAATAGGTCTTTTATGGGAACGATAAAAATTTTACAATTTGATAGATTAGATACCAAAGAATATACTAAAATTACCTTTATATACATTTATAACATATTAATTGAGCAAAGCCTATTACTCACTAAACAATTACTTAAGTGACAAACGTGCATGACAATATTGTTTATGCACAGTTTTTACATTAAATATTAGACAAATGTGCATAAGTAAATAATAAACAAAAACTGTCTTTTAAAAATATATATTCAATTGAATTTCTTCTCGATTATTATATAATTTATAATCATCATCATCATCATCGCAGCCCGGAAGACGTCTACTGCTGGACATAGGCCTCCCCCATGGATCGGTCCTGCGCTGCTCGCATCCAATGCCTTCCAGCGATCTTGACCAGATCGTCGGTCCACCTTGCTGGAGGCCTTCCCACGCTGCGTCTTCCGGTCCGGTCTAAATATCTACTCTTTAATTGGTTGAGAGGAATATCGAGTAGTGAACATTTATTGAGTATAACTAAATACCGTTTCGCCAAGTTCACAAATTACAGTTAGATTCGAATAACAAGCATCAAACATAAAACGACAGCTTCTGATAGTTTTGTCGGTTACGGAGTCCAATGCTATTGTTACTTGTATAGTAAAAATAGGAAAAAGATTGGGTGAAAGTCAGGCAATCGGGGCCGAGTCACCGTCGCAGTTTATTTACAATGCCACGTCCAAGTAAAATTGTGATAGAGCAATTATTTTTATTTGTAGAATATTACACCGAATATATCTAAAAATATTGGTTGGTTGGATATTAATTTTTAATAGCAGTAAATTAATAATAATAACAATAAAAATATGTATCTACTATATAAGCTAATATTGAAAAAAAAAATAATGAAACTATGTCAAATCGCTAGTGGCGAGCACATGTAAAGCTTCAGTTAAACTGTAAATTGAAATCCAATTTGAGTAATACAATTAGAAGTAGAATCTACAACGGAGGCTCAAAGCCACTGGAAACATAGGCAGTGCGACAGGCTTCAAGTAACTTATCAGAACTTTAATATAACTTTTTAATCCAGAAGAAGTCATGCCGAAAGAGGATCCAGAAGCAACAGCTCTCAAAAAAGAATTGGTTGATTTAATTGCTAAAGTTAAGGTACAGATAGTTATTGCTAATACTTTATCTAAGTATATACCTATAATAAGACCTGCGTACCTGAATTCCAAGATTGTTTTACTTGGACTGTTTTTAAAAAAAGGAAGTCAATATTGCATTTTTGTGTTTTATTATATTTTTTTACCATATAGGCAGAGCAAGAAAAAGTAGCAGATGCTAAATTATCAGAAAAATGTGACAATATGGGAGCTGTATCAAAAATAAGACTTACGACAAAGAAGACCTTGAAAGGACATATAAACAAAGTAAACTCAGTTCACTATAGCGGTGATTCTAGGTACGTGGTCTGAAATAATTTCTGCATATTTGTATGCTATATCATTACTATGTGGAAGTATCGAACTCGAAATTATGTAATTAATTAGGTATCAGATTAATATGTGGCACCTAATGTGGTCACAATATAGCTTATAATATGTAGGAAACAATTTGAATTGTACCAAGCATACGGTAGATTAAGTTTAAGGTACAGTACTTAAAGCTAAGCGATAATATCTGAAATTATATTTGAAAATAAACTCATTTCTAACTTTTCTTTCTCTGACGAAAGAGGTGGAATGAAATATGGACCCAATTTTGTGAGTCCATTATCAGTCTTACATTTCAGATAATCCTGTATGCATTTGCGAATGAATCTTCGTCATAGCAACTATAATTATATAAAGTCTAATAATAATTCAGACAAAATACTATGTAATATTATATTATTTGTGCTTTAGGTATATGTCAGCTGCTTCCGCCTCAAAAACTGGTCTAACGCGATTGTATACTGAATTATTATTGATTATTGGAAATAGAACATGACTGTATTTGACAGGCACTGCGTTACTGGTTCACTGGATGGAAAACTTATAATCTGGGATACATGGAGTGGCAACAAGGTACAAGTCATCCCACTACGGTCTGCTTGGGTCATGAGCGTTGCATTTGCGCCTTCGGGAAATTTTGTGGGTAAGGTACACTCATACATTATTTAGGTATGTTTTCTAATATCGATGGTTGGACATAACACATATTATACATGCACAGATATATAGATTTTGTTATTACATGGCTTGTATGACAAATATATAGAATTTGACCCTAAATAAGATGCCGCAACACGCTCTCACACTAATTGACACATAACATATTATTTTTTACTATTACTGTCGATTAAGGTATTTTTATGTGGTAAAATAAAGCTTATGTTTTAAAGTTGAAGTAATATGGAAACTTTATTTAATCAAATTAAATTAAATCAAATCAAAATCATTTATACATGTAGGACATTTTAGTCGTTCATGAACGTAATTTTTTGTATTATATTTATCCCTATCGTCCTATTGAATTTCATGTACTAACTAGTAATAGGTAGGAATATCTAATTACTTTTCTATATATTTCTTAAGCTTGTGGTGGTATGGATAACATGTGCACTGTGTATGATGTCAATAATCGTGACGCTACTGGAGCCGCTAAAATGGTACGTGAGCTGGCTGGCTACGAAGGGTTTCTTAGTAGCTGTCGATTTCTTGACGATACTCATATTCTCACTGGATCTGGTGATATGAAAATGTAAGCTCTATTTAATATTTTTATCGTAGTAGACAATGTGTAAAGTCTCTAATACCTCTGTCCACCTATTTTAACCGCCGAGCTGCTTGCTATATCAATTGTTTCAGTAAAATTAGATAGTGAAATTATAGTAGAAGATGTGTAATAATTAGCCCTTGAGAATAACTACGAATCAGCACCAGGTGTATCACAGGATTACGTGATATTAGTATTGTTCTTCATGTCTATAGGTGACATTTTTCACTTACCATCAGATAAATAGTCCTTATTGCGACTTGAGTTACTTGAAAAAACATTTTTTTTTATAAATACATTTACATTATCATTTCCAACTAATATATAATCATCCAGGTACAACTACAGCCGCAGTAGTCTAGCAGTTTTGCACGTAGCTTTACTTGCGATAGTCGCTTATTTGGTTCTTGCACATTGCAAATATTTGTATTAATGAATATGATTGTTAGTCTGAGTATTTTTTTATATGCTTTATCTTACATAAAAATTATACAAACACCGCTTATTTCAGAACTATTCGTCGTTGTCGCTGAGTGAGTTGTCTTGACTTATACTATTATTTCATTCAACTAGTTAAATATTTTTTTTGTAGATGCGTTTGGGACCTAGAAGTTGGTAAAAAGAACATGGAATTCGACGCACACGCTGGTGATGTTGTCAGTATTTCTTTAGCACCAGGTAAGGAAAAATCTGTCCTTTCTTCGAACTGTTATGCTGTTGGCCGCAGCTGGCCTGTAAAACTTCACCGAACGATAAATGGCGAGTGCAGATGCCACTCCAAAACCGCAGAATGCCTTATGAAGCGGCTGACGGACAACTCCTGCCTGACGATTATACAACTTTAGTCTGAGAGAACCGCTAGGAGTTCGAAACTCGCCTCAGGCCACCATAATTTCATTCCCCAGTTTAATTAGACGCTCGGAGGGGTGTATGTCCAGTGTATCGCGATGATATTAACTTTAAAATATTTTTGTAAATGTTAATATTTTTAACTATACTGTGCCAGATATGAAAACCTACGTTACTGGATCGGTGGATAAGACTTGTAAGCTGTGGGATATCAGAGAAGACAAGGCGAAGCAAACGTTCTTCGGACATGAAGCAGACGTCAACAGCGTCTGTGTAAGTAGTTTAATACATTCTTATAAAGTAATTGTTATCTATAGCAGCATAGTCGTCATTTGGTCATCGCATGTAAATCTATCGTTGACTATAGGTATTGTATTTTTCCCAGTTAGACTATGATCAAAAGTATGATGTACTATCTATCTCTGTCTTACCCATTTCTTTACCCACGTACCTTGTTTGCGGAAGTTAAGTTTGAAAGTTGATATTATGTACCTATACATTAGTCATTAGGAATGGCTATGTATGAACTGCCCGTGTGAATGTATATAGGCAACAGCGAGCACTTTTTATAACGTGGACCATCCTCGTTTTCCTTATTATATTAGAGACATTACATTAGATATGCATTTGCAGAATAGATCTACGATAAAGCTACTTAGTGACAATATTGTCGCACCCTTTTGGCTTATGTATGTATTGTTACTTAATGGTATTGTTTATAAAATCCGTAATTCAGTAACATGTACGATATCATTATCTGCTTCATCCATCCCTGCTTGCAGTCATCTCGTTATTTACTCCTTTTCTTACCATATTATCTTTCATACAGTCCATCCATCTATTTTTCGGCCTTACTCTGTCCTTATAACCATCTATATTCAAATGTAACACCTTCCTTAAAATATTACCTTCATTCACATGCCCATACCATAACAGACACCGGCGCCACTTTCATACACTTCTTCTAATGAATTTTTTTTATTAATAAGGGGATTGCGCTTGCTCTTGATGATGATGGTAAATGATGGCAAGACCTACGATGTAGTAATATTATTACAAACTCAAAAATAGATGACCCATTATCCAGGCTATGATGCCCTCTTTGGTCTATTAGATTTAGTCTATCGCCTTACCTTCGATAGTCGCGGATTTGATTCTTTGCACAACACAAACATTTCTCTTCATGATTATTTGTGTTAATTTGAGTTTTTTTATGCACGTATTTTAAAAAAATGCGAGCAGGGCAAGACCCACTTTCATGGAGATTTTTGGGAGAACTCTTCTTTCAACAGTGGTTGTCTTCCGAGTTGAAATGATGATGATATCTATATAGCTCGGGCTAGACGGAACCGTTTGATTTGTCCAAAGTTATTATGTTATTATAGTAATTTATTTGCAGTATCACAACAGCGGACAGGCGTTTGCAACTGCATCAGAAGACAAAACTGCGAGGCTGTTCGATATACGCAGTGACCAGCAGCTTGGACATTATACCCCACCCGGCAACAGCGGTTTCACTAGTTGTGGTCGGTATTTTTTTTACTTGCACTTATGTAGAAGTCAAAATTTGTTCATAAAATTCTCTAATGTTATTTATATACCTAAAAAATAGATAGCCTAGTAGTCAAGTAACTATTTATTATATAAAAAGTACTCCTCTTGATTGTTAATCATATGCATCTAGCATATGGAAAAAATCTCACTGTAGGTATACATTTGTGGGTTACCAGTAGGGTAGTCTCCAACTTTTAAAATTATTAAGGTTTTGCAATGGTGCTGCTCCTCAGCCCACCCTCGGTTGAGGAGCAGCACCATTGCAAAAAACTTCCGAAAGAAAATGGGTCATAGGGCGGACCCGAGAATTATGTAAAGAGGATAGAGTCAGGGCAGTCAGTCTTTTGGAAAATTCATCAATAAAACAACCATGATAGTTCTAGGGTGGATCGCATGGATGTTGATTATAATAGGGTACATTTCAGTAGGTAATGGAACCACCAGACACATCACTCATAAAACCTACACCACCTCTCGGCTCTATCCAAGTGGAGAAAATTCATATTTCTATAATTATAAATCTTTGATTTTTTTCTGTGAGCATTAATATATACTTGTACATACTATTCATAGGTACATATGTATATTAGATATATTACGTTCGTAACAAACCTGTTCATAAAAAATATATAAATAACAGTCAATTATATCCCAATCAATTACAACATTATTACAATATTATAGAATAGAAAAGGTAAAAATAGACAAATGATAATTACATCTTTATTATTTACTGTAGATATTTACTTACAACAGAAACACTTACAACAAGATCTTATTTAAATTTACACTTAGACATTATTATTCTATTATATAGCCGGTTATTTATTAGGTATATATTATGTATTGACCCGATTTTAAAGAATTATTTATAAATTACAAGTTACGTGGAAATTAAATATTGAAACAGGTTTTACTTGGTGTACTTTTGTCTTTGCATATTAAATTATTTAAATTTGATCCTGTCGTGTAGCATACGTTAAAGTGGTCATGGTCATCAGTTAGCTACTTGACCGTGTCAAGTTAATTTGAAATAAATATATTATAGATACACCTATGTGGGAAGTATATGGCTGTATTTTTATTACATGATCTTCTTCGAATCCTTATTTTTATAGGCTAAAAAAGGAGACTGTTAGTAATGTGGACTAATCTTAACAGTATAACGTGTTAGGTTGACCTCCACGGGGTTCTCCCTGTAAACCGTCATGACAAATTCCTAGTAAATTTGTCCCGATAACGTTAATATCTATAAAAAAATGCCTAATGTGATTTCTCAACAGGACTATCTCTAAGCGGAAGGTACTTGCTAGCTGGTTCGGATGACAATGCAGTACATTCCTGGGATACACTGAAAGTCAATCATACAGGTAAATGTATATTTTTGTATTTCAATTTGAAAACAGCAAAGTAATATCTATATTCTACAAAACGCTACAAATTACATTGTGTAGGAGTGGTCTTAAAGTTTCTTATTTTAGTACAAACTGTCATTATAAATATACGTATATATAGTAGATAGATAAGGAGTGCTGAAACATATTTGATACAATTATATTAATAAAAATAATAATGCTTAAATAAGTATTACATGGAGTGTAAAGAAAACATAATTATTAAATAAACAAAAATAGTGGTTTGGTTGGTAGCCTACACAAAACAGTACATTTTCAACTGTGTTATTATGACGTTATGTTTTTTGTTACACACTTATATTTTCAGGAACACTAAACGCTCATGAAAATCGAGTGACTTCGATCTCAATTGCCCCGAATGGCATCGCTATGGCCAGCTGCTCGTGGGACCAAAGTGTCAGGGTCTGGGGCTGAATTCAGCATCCCAATTATATTTTTATTTATTTATTTCATTCAAGCAACATAATATTATTTATATAACAATATTGGCCCACATTATATATGCCTTACGGACCAACTATATATCTTACAAGCTGTGCCCGTGATTTCACCTGCATTAAATTTCAATCAAAAATATAGTCTATATGTTATTCTGATGCATAAGCTATATAACTGTAAAGGTTCATCCGTTCAGTAGTTTTTGCGTGAAAGAGTAACAAACAACTATACTTACAAACTTTCACGTTTATAACATTATGAAGATTCTTATTATCAGAACTGATTTTGATGAAACTTTACAATAATATATACATACATCTGAATAACACATAGGCACATAAATTGCATGCGAGTGAAACAGTGGGTACAGCTAGTATATAATAACAATATTGTCTTTGTGGTCACCACACTAACTATGGCAATCTGCCACGGTAGCGGCGCTATAAGTCCCTTCGGCCAGTAGTCTTCCTTTATTAAGGTGAACATGTTGGTGGGGACCCGATTGGTGGGGTTTTTTTTTGTGAATGCTAATGAGATGGTACACCCGCCATCTCTAATGCTGTAATTTACTGGTGGGGTCCCAGTGGCGGATAAGAGGATGAGCATGAGGGCTCAGGTCAGTTAGCCCATCGTAGTAAATTTACCAAGAATTTATCAGGTTAGTTTCCAGGGGGAAACGCGTGGAGATCAACCTAACATGGTACATTGTTGGCTATGGGGTTTCAATCCCCTTCTCCCCATTGGTGAGGATCGAGTCACAACGCGAGCTTCAAAGCGTAGCGTAAAGCGTTGGTGACCACAAACTCGATTCCAGTTGCATCACTCTCAGGTTTTTAGGTTAGTCTTAGTCCGGGTGTAGTCGACAATGTCCTGTTCCTTGGTATCGTAGAAATACTCCAATATGCATAGTAACCATTAGCGAATTCCTTGTAGTAGTAGCCTACATACCTAAATGACATTATAAATATGAATGCAAGTTTGGATGGTATTTTTGAAATGTATTATAATGGAGATACACCCGCCTGCGCCCGCATGTTTGTTACTGAACAGCGCTTAAGTGACTAAACCTAAATGATTAGATGAATATTATGCATACATACAGATCAATACATTATATGTTAAATAATATATTAGGTTACTATTCACGCAAAATCATGTGTCAGGACACATTGAGGTCAGGTGACGTGTAATTCCCTGTGATTTAAGTATATTTACATAATGATATAATATCGAAATGATAGGTACTTACAACAGCTTCTTTTTGGTGTATGTACGTTATAAAAATACACTACACCCATCTCAAACGCTCATAACAGTAAAACCAGTGCAAATTGTATAGAACCTATCAAAAATTATTTCATCACGTCCATTATTTGAACCCGTCCGAATTGTACAGAATCTATAAAAAAATTAACTACGCACGGATCTATGTTTGGTATTCGTTATATTTAATGATATATTGATGTGTAATGGTAATGAATTAAAACTGTGTTTGATAAGCGAATGTTTTTTTTATTTTACCTACCTGCTTATGTGTTGGAACCACATACCTTATATTATACAGTTCAAAAAAACTAATAATTCCCTCTTCTCTGTCACGAAATAGTTAACATACCTACGTACTATATGTACTAGCCAAATAGTATTATGCTTACAGCCCTGTAAAATTAACATGGATATATAAAAATTAAGATTCATATAAATGTGTTTCAGGTCGGTAGCTCCCAATAAAATGTGTATTTAAAAAGGTGTAAAAAAACATTCAGAATCTGTTCCTTTAATTAATTTATACACTTACTAGCGTACTCACATAGATATACATAATTATATCTAGACAAATAGACAGGATACTACATAGGTATCATTAGACCTACGTTATTTTTTTATGAAGTAATGAACTTTTCATGTTATTAAAATATGTACTACGTTGTTATACAGATAAGATTATATTACAAAGTTTCAATCACATTACGTGTTTATACTTCAAAAGCAATTCGTAATTGATTTTGACTGCATAAAAATAAACAATATTGACCTGCACATATTAGAGGTTAAAGAATATATTTTAAATCAACGAGAAAGAAAGCTTTTTGGAATATATAGAAAGTAATGGACACAGAATAATGCATATGTTATGAAATCTCAATAAGTCTGTTTATTATTTTGAATGTAATCATCCTTAGAAGCATATTTGTATGCACAATACACAATGCCTAATTGTACACATTATCATGGACACATTTCTACAAAATGCACTCGTCTTCAGTACAATCAAGGCGTCACAAGTTCTTAAGAAAATTTTACTATACAATTGCTATCATAATAGCATATGTTACTTTTTATTATGCACATACTCATTGTAAATACCAATCGCCTAATAACACAATCGCTGTAAAAGTTATAAACAATTACAGCATATATTATTTACAAAATCACACGACACAGGTCGCAGTTAACAAACCAAAACTAGAAACGAAATACATACTTCTGTGGACAAATCCACATAATTCCCCATTCGTGTATTTTGGTAATGGAAGTGCAGTGTTTGAAAATAAAAAGTGTCTGTGGAAAAATTGTTACGTTACTGGAGACAGAAATTATTTAGGAGACTACAGCGAATTCGACGTAATTGTCTTTAATGGACCGCAGTTGAACCAAATATTAAACTATTATGACATACCAAAGAAACGTCTCCTATCTCAAAAGTACGTATACGCTAATGTAGAATCAGCCGCTACTTATCCCATTTGTTCAGATATATGGAATGATTTTTTTAATTGGACTTGGACCTACAGACTTGATTCCGACTCCATTTGGGGGTATATTTCGGTGAGGAACGCAACCGGGCATGTCATAGGACCCAATGAGATAATGAATTGGATAAATATATCCGACATGGATGATATTGATGAAAAACTAAAGTCTAAGTTGAAATCCAAGAAGAAACTGGTTGCATGGTTTGTTTCTAACTGCGACAGTATGAGTTTAAGAGAGGAGTATGTAAAAATTTTTCAACAAGAATTGCGTAAATATAATTCGGATGTCGATATATTTGGCAGTTGTGGAAAACATCAGTGTCCCCGTGATATAATGCCCCGGTGTCTAGATGTCTTAGAAAGAGATTACTATTTTTATTTCGCTTTCGAAAATGCTATTAGTCAGGATTACGTAACGGAGAAAATTTTGTACCCTTTAAATCACAATACAGTTCCAGTAGTCTTTGGCGGCGCAAACTATACAAGGTAATTTAAATACTTATCATCAATATTAATGCAACTGGGTATAAGCGATAAGTGCCACTCTTTTTTACCATTTCGAAGATTTTATTGCCCTCAAGTGTCTAAAGCTCGGGTAGCTCATTGTTATTATGTAGTATGTATTATATACATTTTTATCAAATGCGTTATTAAATGGTAAAAAGTTTTAATATTATTTTGTTTAATAATATTTTTTACAGATTTATGCCACATGGAATTTATTTAAATGCTCGAGAAATGGAACCAAAAGTACTTGCCAAGACGATGTATGATATTACACGAAACTTTGAAGTGTATTGTAAGTTTTTTAGATGGAAAAAGTATTATTCTTATCATTTTAGACATGAAATTCCAGATACAGATGATTATTGTAATTTCTGTGCAGTGATTAACAATGATAATCTAATTAAAACTACAACAGTATACAAAGATTTTGATAGATGGTGGGCGGGTAATGATACTTGTTTTTCAAATAATGATGATCACTTATACGAAGATAAAACAATTTAGTTTGAAATGTCATATGAACAATATTTATAATAGTGTAACTAAATTAAGACATTAGCACGGACGTAGCTTCACAAATTGCAGTCTCGTACGGAAGACGGTACAAGTACCTACGATTTACATTCATGATTATTTATCTTATTATGATAAGTAGCATAACAATAAGAAACACATAGAGGTTTCAACGAGTGACAAACAAATGAAATATGTTTAGTTAGTTCGTGTTATATTCTACTAAATTAATCTTTTGGCTTCGCATATTTTTTAAAAATTACATACATTATTAATTATACAGAGATTCTGAAGTAGTATTCATCTTTAAATCTTTAGTACCGTGGATTGACCACGGTCTACGTGAAGTGATAAATGAAAATGTTTATAATGAATTAAATTATGTACCTAAGTATGATAATATTTTTTACAACTCGTCTGTAAATCGATGGGTTCTTGAGTTATGCCACAGTGGCAATGTACCCCAAAACCTTGAGTGTGAAGCAAAATTTTCTTTCATTTTTGGTTTCGACGATATTTCTAAATATTCCATCTTAGAGCCGGAACTGACAGGCCTCCATTTGTATGGTAATATTACAGGTTTATTTGGATCTCTGAAATAAAGGTATTGATACAAGGCCAAGTTTAATCAACAAATTTAATGTTTTTCACAGACGTAAACGAATTGTTTCGTGTTCTTTGATATTACGTATCAAGAGCAGGTTTCTTTTATTTTAAACCATATAAATAAATTATGTTATTTGACTATTGCATAAATGACTTGGAAATGTGTTTTGTTAACTGAAGGATAATTATCTAGGTACATATTTTTTACTTACCCGCTTGTAGCAAAATTAGTCCACATTGTAATAATAAGTTTACTCATCTCGACATCATTTGTTGATGGTTCTTTGGAAAGAAAATGTATCGGAAACAGATACATAAGGTCATCTGCATGACATACACCTACAAAAATATAATTTGTATACAACCACAGTTTTTTGTTTCTATTTTTTTATTTAAGATATATGTATACCTTATATGTAGAAAATAAGAGTAGGTACCTTTACCTTTTTTAACTTTCAATTGTTCAGGTATGAACTACGCCCTTGCTACATTAAATTAGATAGATAGGTATAGTAATTAATTATTTCTTTACCTGTATCTTGGTTGCCATATCCAAAAATTTGTGAAAAACTATTGACAGCCTTATATGTCAAGTGATACAGAAACACTGGAGACTTAGTGTAGTTGAATGTAAGTTCTATGGCTTCTATTGCAGGATACGCGAAAAAGGAATCAGTAAAGATCTGCAGGCATATGAGATTACAAAGTGTTAGTCAGACAACAAACGAAATAACCTGTGAAGGTATATAACTAAAGAAGCGCATAATGTACAATTGTAAGCGCGTAATGTAAAAATGTACAAATGTACAATTATTTGACGTTTTAGGTGAGAATTAGAAATTTAATGACAACACAGGACTGATTTAAAGATATCACAATGCTAAGGTGTTGTTCCTACACATACGCAACTTACCATAAGGTGGTGTCTTACATTGCAAGATTGCCATTCAAGGTATTTAAAAAAGAAAAAAGTACAATACGAAAGAAAGCAAACGTTAAAAAAAGAATTTCAGGTTCTATTCAAGTATCTGTATTAAGTTAGATTATATTTATACTGACTTGTATAATTCCAGAGTTTATACCGGCATTGTCTTTTTGTAATGAATATTTTTCTTTTATCAATTTATTTATAAGATGTATTTTTGGTGAATTTTCATAATAAAATGTAATTGGTCCAATGGTATCAATACCGGATAGAAATTCTTGTAACCTTGTTTCGTTTGTTGTTATCCCTGCAAAATATTATATTGCTTTCAATAATAAGATAAATGTATATGTTTCAAAAAGGATAGTTTAAAGTATATTATGAGGTTGAATTCCACACGGTTCTCCATGAAAAGAGTTGTATTAATAAGCCCGAAACCAGTAACCTGGCTTGAAATATGCTCATGCTTTCATGCTTCACTGGAACTCGTCTAGAGTTAAACTAATATCACATTTCTTTAACATCCGTATAAATGTAAAAGAAGGCATGCATAAAACACCATGCTATTATAGATGATAAAAGAGCTGATTTGTTTGCGTAATATGAATTCATTAGGCACCCAGTCCGGAACCGCGATCATAGTTTTGACGGCTTTAGTAATTAGATTATTTTAAAATAATCTAATTAGGTAAGTATATTTATTAATAAATGACATAAATATGTATGATCCTTGATTTATTTGTCAATTACTTAGTACAATAAAATAACTTACAGCCTGCTTTCAGACAACCTTCATCTTTGGTTAGACCTGTCATCCAAGGAACTGCGGGGGTTTTAGGAATCTTTCTCGGATTTCTAGTCAAAAATGCTCCAGGTAAATCGGGTTCAACCACTGCCTTAAACGGAGTCATGGGGTCGTAGTCCCATACCTAAAAACAATAGTTAAAATTAATATAATGAGCAAACATTAATTTCTAGTAATTTCTGAAAGTTTCAGTGAGAAATTGTATCAACATACATAAAAGTTAAATTCAGTGTTGATGATATCGTAACCATCTTTTGTTCGAAGGCATTTAATCATTTGCTCTGACGGTGCTTGTGGACAATTGAGCATTTTTGCTAAACGGAATGCATTACGAAGTGCCTCACCGGGAGGGGCTTCTGCCCATGGCACCAAGGCCGTACCAGATTCTGAAATTGCTTTATGAAATAAACCTGAAAAATTTAATTACATTGTTATTATCACTTCATATAATAATATAAACTTTTTAACAGGCGGATTTAAAATAGTCTGAACCTTTTCGTGTACCTTACACCATCCTTAATATTGCACCTTATTACGTTAGTCAATGATACAAATAGATTAATTATAATCATTGGTTAAATAATAATTAAATATTTACCTGCACTGGTCTCCGATAGCATGTGAAAATGAACACTGGCTCCACCGGCGCTCTCTCCAAATATTGTAACTGAATTCTTATCACCTCCAAAGGCAGTGATAGTGTTTTGTATAAATCGGAATGCCTCCTGCTGATCCTTGAGACCATTATTACCAGGACAGTGTTCGTCTAGAGTTGACAAAAATCCCAGCGGACCTAAAGAATTAAAACAGCTAAAACAGTGGGTACATTATCAGCCTAATCAATCCATTACTACTGTTTATGCGTATTTGTGTGTACTAGCAATTCTACATAAAATACGAGTAAACCTTTTTCATTTAATTGTATAGTAAAGCAGCTGAATGTCATACCCAATCTATAATTAATGGTGACTAGAATAACATCCCTGTCCAGCAGATATTCTGGTCCATACATAGAAGGAGTTGAATCTCCACACATCCATCCTCCCCCATGAATAAATACCATGACTGGTAATAGATTCGTTTGAACCAAATCCTGAAAATAGAAGATTTATTCAGGATGATCAAGCAAAATATATAATATGCACAGTGTTATTTGCTATTTATTGCCTTATTATATGTATAAGTACTACTTACTCTTTTACAATGTGAAATTACTGTTTTTCGATGGCGATGATAAAGAGTACATATATCCTCATAACATCAGAATATAATAAAAACCGACTAGGGAAATAGTATCAGGTAAAGGGAAACTCTGAATTAATGCCAGCTAAGCCGCTTGACCAACACATGTTGGACTCTACTCTACTAGCCAATTAGGTAATAGGGACATTACCTAATTGGCTAGTAGAGTCCTGCAATGTTGTTATGGTAATTTCTAATTATAAAAGATAACAAGTACATACATTGCTAGTGTCAGGAGTATAAATATTTAGATATAAACAGTCCTCTTGTCCTACAATTTCTTTTTGGCGAACATATGGATTTCTTTGAATACACAGTGGCGTAGATTTGCTGGCATCTAATGCTCTCTCCCATGGTTCTATAGGTACTGGGGCCTGAAAAAAGAATAGATACTATAGAAAAAATAGTAAACATACTAATACATATAGTAAAACATTATAGAAATAGAAAATCGTGCACCTGTTAAATTTTCGGAATGAATTTGAAGATAAATCAGATTTCATGAATCAAGATTAAATACATAAATTGACGTTAGATACAGCTATAAATGGTCACACAGATATTAGTAAATTTATCGTACATGTTTAGCTTACATAGCACGCAAATTACTTAAATGCTAAAAAGAACTTTGAATAGAAGTCAAATAATTAAATACATTTGTTAATTTTAAAATTAACAAAAAAGGTGTCTTAATAATAAAATAAAGTACAAATACGTATAAAATAACACTAATAAAAAAAGTAAGTTTCGTAAATTTTTATCAAAAGTCCGATATATTGTAATAACATTTAACTATTAATAATTTGTGTTTAAAGATATTATTTGGGTATTTCATTTCAAGTATTTGGTCCCATGTATACTAATAATAATATAATGCATGGACTTAGTGGTAGATTTTTTAAGAATAATTGTTTATTAAGTTCTAATCTCGTGTAAATGTTGCCTACGTAATATAATTGAACACCACCGCGAATATACAAGAACTTAATATATTGTGATATTTACTAAATGATAGCGAGCTAAGGCGAAGTATGCAATTACCCTGTAATATCGCTATCTTTTATCAACTATGCAAATGCCTCTCGATCTCTTCGTTCAAACCGAAATACTTTCTGCAATGCAACATGCTGACGAGACTAAATACAAGTACGTACGAAGAAATCCTTTGACGACGAGTACGAAGACTCGAAACTCACTACACACTATCTGAACTTACGGGCGGTATAGGCACTCGTATTAAGAATATGTAATAAAGAATTAATATCGCTAAACAATTGCATAGCTATTGCTTTGCATGCAATACAATAATTCAGTTAAACCTAATAATAATAGTAGTTTTAACTGAATGGAGTACCTATATAAGTATTTTTAAATAGTGTTCCCATGATTTACTAATACTATTATTTTATTTAAAATCATCTAGTCGCAGTAGGTAAAAACAGTATTCAGTCAATAATGACAATTGAAAAATAACAAATATCTAAAAGATATAGCAAAAATATAACAGGGACGTCTCTCTCAGGTGCACAGTATTTTTCTCTTTATATTACATGCAAGCATTTCTTTAATAAATAAGACATTTGTCTATCTGCGACTGTCATGTAGCCAGATTTTAATATAAAGAATTCATTTTAAATCGTTTCTACAACCAACAAACCAATCAATACATTATGATATCAAAATCAAAACTAAAACTAAAATAACAAAATTTTTTTTTTATATTTATTATAGGAATCCAACGCTATATTAAACTTATAGATACACGTTATAAAACTAACTAAATTCTAAGATTCAGAGAAGAGCTTGCTTATATCATGTCCTGTTGTGAGACATAGCATCAGCTACACACATATAAGATAATGGTAAATACTTAAGAAATTTGATTTTCTGTGTATATAAGGTGATGTGGAGCATCTGTGTACGAGCTTCTTTCTTTTGCAACGAAAGTTGAGCATAATATTATTCTTTTTTAATTTAGTCATCAATTAGATTATGGAATGAACCAACTAATTATATATGGAATTTTACCATTTGTAGTAAGAACTACTACAAATGGTAAAATTACATAGCCATCTATTACATATTTTTTTTTATGTTACAGTATACATAGAACATTATAAAATATTATTTAAAGAATTAATTCGTACCTAATTTATTATTATATAAATTACGAATACTTATATATCTGAAAAATACACGATAATTTCAAGTCTTTGATTACTACAAAGAGAAAAATCTTTAAAGTATATAGGTATTATGTAGATACGAGTATCTCATGCACTCGTGTCATAAGATTGTAGAAGGAAAATTGTAGCCCATTAAATAACTATTATATTCCATATAACTATTCCATCTAATCTATTTTTCGTGAATATCTAAACAGTTGCGTAATGGCACCTGTCTCAAAAATATAAATGCCTGTCTATACAATTTTTTTTATTGGCTCACTTACACGTCAACGATCGTATATTTGCATCTCATGTTCCATGCAGTTTATGTAGTAGCTATTTCGGTGTACGTCATATCTATCGATTTTTCATCCTGCCAGATTGCACACAGATCTCGCGTCTGCAGTAGAGGTATATTCTCCCATTATACTTGTGCATCTATTTCCATGAATAGTATAAAAACGTTTGGTGTCTAGTATTTTGAATATAAAATGCTAACTCTCAAAACCTTTTTTATACGATTTGTTCACCTTGTGTACATATTCTTCCTGTTGTCATAATGCCTAGATACTTATGACGAAATAGGTACAAGAGTTTTACCTTAAATCTTAGATCCCTTATGGGCGGAGCGGCATACGGTATGGATGTGAATGCCGATATTCCTCTGCCTGTTCGAGTTTTCATATAATAACCGTTTATTTCTCCTAATGGAGTTGTCACAGAAGGTCGCGTTTCACTTCTCACTTTACAAACCAATATCACTAAAGTGAAAGTGATTAACATTTCTATATAATGAATGGGTCGCATCATGTACCTGTAGATATTAGACAAACCGAAAACTTGTTGGGTGTTTGTACATACGAGATACAACGTGCCGCGGCGGAAGCGAAAATATTAATGGAAACAGACGCCTTGTACTCCTGTTTTTATATGAGTACGTACCTGTAGGTATCCATGAGGCGGTATATCAGACGAACTTAAGTAACCTAAGTATACAAAGTATTAAGCGTGCACTATAGACATTAATATTAACCACCTAGTGACTTGTGGTCTACGGGTAATACCTGTTTTTGCAGACTTATCTGAATATTCGAGTAGGTAAGAGCCTAGTTACTTACCGGCGTATCCAATATAAAGTAACGTATTACATTGTTATGTATAAATTTTATTTTTTACTGGCGGTGCCCGCGGTTTCGCCGCATTAATTTTCCATATATAAATTTCAATATAAAATATAGTCTCGCGTTATTCCGATGCATAAGCTGTATTACTGTAAAGTTTCATCAAAATCCGTTCAGTAGTTTTTGCGCGAAAGAGTAACATACATTCATACTTACAAAATTTTGCATTTAATATTATTAGGTTTATCTAACAATGTAATAATTATATTGGATACAAAATAAACGATAGTTGATGTTTAATCAAAGCTTTTGAATAACATCCATCCCATGGCTATTAAAATATTTAACAATTTGCCAGATAAACTTAAACAATTAATTAAAATAAATTTTAAGTAAGAACTGTAAAAGTGGTTGGTAAGCAAGCAGTGTACAAAGACTAAAGAATATCTCTTAGAAAAAAGGAGGAAGTGATGTATGCGAGTCTCTTAGTCAATATGTGTCCATTATGAATGCCCTTGTCCATATAAATATTTAATAATAAAATATAATTCAATTTAATAATTTCATGCAATAAATTGAACTGTCTATATATACCTATTGACAAAAATTTTGGAAATGTATATATATTGAGGACATATTGGTTTAAATTTGGAAATTCTAATTATTTCATGTATATAAATACAACTGATTGAAATGGCACCTGTTGTCAATTGCATGTCAGAAAAGACAGATGTATAAAATTAAATATATGTTAATTATGTCAAACCATCACTGTAAAACCACATTTAAGCAATCAATTTCATTTCAATTCACATTCAGATAATAAAAGCTAGGTCTGAATGGCAAATCTAGCAGGTTGGAGATTTTCCACTGCGCACCTTCTACGACTCAATCGGCGAGTTCATATATTCAATGAATATATGAATGTACCTACTCGTATTTATGTGGAGTACAAATAATCTATAAATACGAATAGTTTAATGTGTGGACTACTATACTCCCCAATAGTTCAAAATGGACTAGGTATTTATAATTCCAAGAAAATTTGACATAGAGTATAATACTCATATACATATAGATAAAACTGGAGTGTCTGTATCTAACATTGTAATACTGCATGCATATGAATATAAATACAGTAAATATACCAAAATAACATTTTTTACAATTTTTATCTCTCTGTCTGTTTGTTCCGGCTAATCTCTGAAATGGCTGAACCGATTTTAAAGGGAATTTTATTGACAGGTAGCTGATGCAATAAGGAGTAACTTAGGCTACTTTTATTTTAGAAAAATTCTTTTAGTTCATAAAAATAAAGTAAAATTAATTACTTGTTTTGATAAATTCGCTGATGAAGTCGCGGGTACAGCTTGTTAGTAATATTAGTTGTGAAGTCACATGGGTCAGTCAAGCTCACTTATATGTCCAGACGGGTGATGACGTGGGGGACGAGTCATTGTACACCCTAAAATATGGTTGGGCGCAGTGATGACTGGCTTCCTCGTTATGCTCGTAAATGGTTGCTACTTGTAGGCACTGGGGCTGCTCTAACAACATCTGATTTATTTTGTTAGTGAAGTGGCTATTTAATTTACTTACGTTGGTCACTTTTGCTATTTGCCAGATTGTATTCACACAAAATCTAAATTATGTAATTATGAACATTTAAATATAAAAAAAAGAGCAACACGGGGAACTCAATAAAGTGTCGTAAGATCCCGGGATATTTACTAATTACACGTACCTATAAATAACGACCGCCCCAAAAAAATAGTATGTAAAATTACAATTTTGTGATGAGCGGTAGAATAAAACAATATAGGATTTTACAAAAATGCTACTATTAAGTTTATTTGAATAAACTATAGTCATGTCATTTGACTTAATCACGTCGCATTGTAATAATAATCTTCTGGATAATTCCTACAACGTCGTTTAGTACCAATGTAAGCAGAGCTTGTGTTATGGGTAATACATACACATTATACATAGAAAACACCCAGACCGATACAAATAATATCATACTCATTAATACAAATGTTTGTACCATGCGAGGAATTGAACCCACGACCGAAGTAAAGCGGTGTGATAAGCCGATAGACCACCGAGGCCGTCTTCATTAAGGAGTATGTAGGAGTAAGGGGCATGTACCACGAAGTGTGACATTGGGTTATAAAGGTGGGAGGGTTCTAAATTTGGTGATGTCACATTTAAAAGTAGTAAAGCTTAAAAACTTAATTTGTATAAACATAAGATTTGAATTGTGATAATTGCGAAGGCTATGATTAGAAATTTTTTATAATGGTCCGTAAAATAACCCAAATAACTTCTGTACATATCTAGTAATCAATTGATATTAGTTATTGAAAATGCTTGTAATGTTCCCTTATATGCGAATTTGTAATACCTGTGGTAATACAAAGTATATAGTACGTACCTATAATACTGAGTTATCTAAAGTATATATATATATATACATATTTAAGGATCCATAAATACTAATGGTAGGTACATATATAGACATTGAAGTTTTATATTATAATTTATTTCCCTTTAGATTTTTTAGTTCTACTTGATCTCCTGTGTATTAAGTGAAACATTTTTTTTAAAAGGTATGATCTTTTTTTAGGCGTATATCGAACATTTTTTTCAATAACTGGATAATTTGGTAAATTATTATTATTATTATAAGTTTTAGTGCTGATTTTTGATGCTAGATTTATATTTCGTCTCCGTAAACTGTGTGATGTATTACTATTATTTCTTTCTTCATTGTTCACTTTATCATCTATCTGTTTAATTTTTGAAAGTATATTTTCATTTTGTTTAATAATCCATTCGGTGATTGTTTTTAACTGAATCAAGTCATTGTTTAATTTAGGCAACTGGATTTTATTTACTAGTTCAAACTTTTCGCTGATTGCGTTCACAGTTTTCAATACGTTACTGTCGTTATGTTCGATGATTGATTTGGGAACATTTTGGCAAACTGCACATTTCCATTGATAGCCTCGATCATCGACATCTCCATGATCTTTATTCAATACATTGATGCGTCTCATATGTAACTTGCACTCACACTCTGCATATTTGAGAGCATCGTCATGCTTAAGAGACCGTTGGCAACGGTGGCATATCATAATTAACTATGGAAAATATATAGACATTTATTATAATAAATCCTGGTGTATTCGTCACGGAAGCTCAACTAACTTTAAAGAATTAAAGATTTTGTTAAAATTATTTATTTATTATTGGGTTATTAGGGTGAGAATGGGATTATTAGGGGGCTGCGTGTATGTGCCCAGTGCAGTATGGGAAGTACATACGTTGGCTTGAAATCACTATTCTGCTATTAATGAATTAGGACTATAGTATTACTTGCCCCCGCCCTATCGCTCCGCCCCCAAGTATTTTTTATGGATGATACCGCCTGCGCTGGGGGAAAGGGGATTGTTAGCAATGGGAACTAGTAACTCCTATTGCTAGCAATGTACCATACTAGGTCGACATCCAGGTGGTTCTCCCTGGAAACCATCGTGATAAATTCTTGGTGAATTTGTCACGATGGGCTAACTGACCTGACCTCATGCTCATCTTGTCATGCTCCACTGGTGCCCCGCCAGCGTAAACCGTTAGCGCAAGCGGGGTATCAGTGGAGGATGAGAGATGAGCATGATGTCAGGTATTCCCACAGAGTATTAAATGATGCAGGATCACCTTATTCATCATCATCCACAGAAAGCCTACTTACCTGAAACTGAGGAAAGGGTATGAAATAGGGACAAGGGCCTGTGTCACACTTCAGAGACTATTGACTACTTATAACACATACTTTGTAATTACCTAGTTACTCACGCCAAATGTATACAAAACCTTGAATATGTAATCAATTCATTCCCTATTTCACATGCAATTTTAATAGATTTATTATGGAATTTCATTTATAATAGTTGATATTAATTAAAATAAGATACTTTGTAATTTAACTTTGGTCATTAAAACTGAAATTCAATAAGCTTGAGACAAATTAATATTCTCATAATGAAACTATAAAAATAATGGAATATTAAATTATGTGAACATTATCAAATCGACAACGTCATTGGAACAATATATTTTTTATATATGTCGCAATGACGTTGTCCTCGCATGTACCTACATAGATACGTAGATAATCTAAAGGTTTCCATGGTTTCGATATGATCCTATCCTAGATATTTTTTGATAGGTCTATAAAATTTTTGTGTCGCTGTTTGTTACCAATCTCTTTCGGAAAGGTTTTACTGATTTTCTATTTTTATGAAGTTTTGTATGCATTTCGACTGGTCGGAGATTAAGTCAACATCTATTTTTAATTTCTCTAAATTCGTTTTACTTTTTTATGATTTTGAAAAATATTTACTAATTTTTTACCCTTTATCAATCCTATTTTTAAGTGATTTTAAATTATATGGCAAAACAACGTTTACGGGATCAGCTATTAGTATAGGTATATAAAAACGCGATATAGCTCTCTATATATATCTTAATTTATATTATAAACGCGAAAGTTTGTATGTATGTATGTTTTACTCTTTCACGCAAAAGACACTGAACGAATTATGATGAAGCTTTACAGTAATATAGCTTATGCATGCAGAATAACACATAGGCTATATTTTATATTGAAATTTAACTCGGGTGAAACTGTGGTCACATCTTGTATATTATATTATTGCAAATTATACATATAATCATATGTATAATATACTATTCCAAAATAATAATTACTTCCGTACTTCCACACTTATTTCTTCCGCCAGGAAATTTGCATAGTGAGATAAGTTTCGGTTTCGAGGATGAGATTTGGTAGTGCAATTACGGTTTATACCTAGATGCCGAATGACGTAGACGCCCGCTGTAGGCTACGGTGTATAGATGGATGTCAATCTGTTCTCTTATACCTACAAGATGAATGTTACATTACACCCTGCCCAGCAGTCTGGTAAAATTACAAATGAAGTAACAAAAACATAATGTAAAGTTGAAAATATAATTAGCATTTTTTTATACTACCTACTTTGATCACATGACTATGTCGTAAGTATATAAGGTTTTAAAACATATTTTCTGTTTAGTTTTTTTCGGAACTATCAATGGTTTTTGGCTTGGCCCTATAACGGTTACCACTTTTCATAAGTTGATTTTTCGCCAAACTTAAGTGGGTATGATCCTTATTAAATACTAATAATAATAGCTTTATTAACAACTTAATTTGCGTGTAAAATAACTTTTTAATCTATTAAGATAAATTACTTAAATAAAAGTGTTAGTTCTTATAACATAAGATATCCGCGAGTCAAAATGAATCCAGTTATAACATTCGGTACCTCGGAGTAAAAGTCCCGTCAAAATCAGTCCAGGCGTATCAGAGATTAGCAACAAGCAGACAGCCAATTATTTTAAATAACATTATTAGTGTAATTGCAGTTAGCTTTTAATTTAAAATTTCAAACAGACACTGCAATTTTATTTATTTGTATAGATTGTTGCATATTTTTTAATATGCACAATACATATAATCAACAAAGCTTATATTTTATAATATTTAAATTTCAGCTAACTACGAAAAAAGTAAAGTACGTTTCTCTCCATTCCAAGCATTAACTGAAGAGGCAACAACAAACGAAACTTCTATAATATTAGTATGTAATATTAATCTTATCTATGCTATAAGTAATATAGATATCATGTGTGTTTGACTACTGGTTTCTCCAGGAGGGTATAATACAATAGGGAACAGTAGTATAAGACTTTTTCAGAATACATTTTTTTCTAAAAAGTTAGCAATGTGGTTGTAAATATCAAATGGATACGAAGACCAACATTGTCAGGATAGCAATGTATCCTGAGTGTATATAGCATATATTATATTTTGTTAGTTAGTTTCGTCTGCCTTATAAATCCTTCACTATCACTCCCATATTATTATTTATTATAAGTAAATACAAGAATTAAATATGTAAATTATATATGATTGTGATTTATAATAATGATGGGACCAGATGGTTAGATAAGACGTCCATCTAACCATCTAGTCCCAAGCTTACCTTAGTACGTTGTGTACTAAATAACTGTCAGAAATACTGAATACGTTTTTGTAAATACATATATAAAATACATAGGAAATACGCAGACCAATATAAATAATCATACCCATGAATACAAATATTTGTTGTACTGATCAAGGAATCGAACCGTGGAAGTGAGGCAATGTGCTAAAATGATTAGCCAGATACGATTTTAATACATCAAAACATGTAATATACAATAGAAATCTTTATTTACGACATAAAGACTACAAATTAATATTATACAACAACCCGCACTTGGTATATATAAAATACATTATTACATTATACATTATTATCAGTCTAAATATAAAATGTTAAATGCCATAGTTAACAAAACCAATATACATATGTATATTATCATTGAAAACCTGTCCCTAGAAATTGTTAAATTAAAAAATTAAGCTCAATAACTATTACAAATAGCACCGACCCATTTTATGTCCTATTTACAAGTTGGCGTGATATTTCTTGTGGGTGGATAAGCCAGCTGCAATTTTGCTGCCTAAGTCAGGATGTACTTGTGTGAACAACTTAACAGCTTTCTCCTGGATGAAACCAGCAGCATCTTTAATGCTGCCGACAAGGTTGTTAATAGTTCTCTGCTTCGCAGCGTCATCGAAAACATCCCTATAAAGAACTGTAGCCTGTGAGTAGTTGTCTTCAGTCTGGCCGCTGTCATACCTGTCTACATCCCCGGTAATGTTGTACCGTGGCTGCAAACGTTGAGCTCGAGGACACTCTTGAGGCCCAGAGAATGAATTTGGGAAATAGTTTGGACAACCTTCTTGGTTATTTATAGCTTGTGGTCCATCACGCTGATAGTTTGAAACTCTGACTCTGTATGGGCAGTTTACCGGTATTTGTAAGTAATTTGCTCCAAGGCGATGGCGGTGAGTGTCTACATAAGAGAATAAACGTCCTTGCAACATTTTATCAGGAGAGGGCTCAATACCAGGAACCAAGTGGGCAGGGCTGAAGGCTATTTGCTCAACCTCTGCAAAATAGTTCTTTGGATTGCGATCCAAAACAAATTTTCCAACTTGAATTAGAGGATACTCAGAATGAGGCCAAATCTTTGTTACATCAAATGGATTGAATTTGGCCTTTTCTGCCTGGGCCAAAGTCATGATCTGAATGTAGAATGTCCATGATGGATAGTCACCTTTAGCAATAGCATTATACAGATCCCTGATAGCATAGTCAGGATCGGATGAGGCAAGTTCACCAGCCTTCTCTACTGGCAAATTCTTGATACCTTGGTTAGTTTTGTAATGGAATTTGACCCAGTGTGCTACCCCTTGTGCATTCACAAGTTTAAATGTGTGCGACCCATACCCATTCATGTATCTATAACCATCAGGGATGCCTCTGTCACCAAATAAGTACAGCACCTGATGAACTGTTTCATGTCTTAGAGTTAAAAAGTCCCAAAACATATCAGCATCTTTCAAGTGGGTGGCAGGGTTTCTTTTTTGTGTATGAATAAAGCTGGGGAATAGTATAGGATCCCGAATGAAAAATATAGGGGTGTTATTGCCAACAAGATCCCAATTGCCATCATCAGTGTAAAATTTCACAGCAAAGCCTCTAGGATCACGAACAGTATCAGAAGATCCACTTTCACCACCCACAGTTGAAAATCGTACTGCAATAGGAGTCCTCTTTCCTACAGTTTCAAAAACTCTAGCTGCAGTGTATTTGGTAATATCATGGGTTACTTCAAAGTATCCAAAAGCGCCTGCACCCTTAGCATGTACTACACGTTCCGGAATCCGTTCCCTGTCAAAAGCTGACATCTCATCAATGAAATTAGCATCCTGGAGGAGAACCGGTCCATTCCTCCCAATAGTCTGTGTTGCAGTCTTGATTCCAACTGGTGTTCCATTTTTTGTAGTGATGAAGCCAGGGGAGTCCTGAAATAGAAATAATGCACATTTATTAGTAAAACAGTATTGAAAATTTTTGTTTCCTGTATTTTTACATTTTATATACCATAAACATATAAATTATTAGTAAGAATTAAATGAAAGAGTTTTGATGTCTGTTTAACTACACCAATAGTAACAATTAAGTTAAATAATCAAATAATGCCTCTGTAGAAAGACAGCTATGGTTAACTGTATTTATATATGTAGTTAGTTATAGCACATTTAGTTAATTGTTTATATTCAACTAAATAGGGACTTTGCCACTTATTTCATCATCATTGGCATAACATTAATAAATTGTGATTAATAACAAAATAGTTAGGTAAATTATTTTTAGACTACTGGCTAATCATAAATAATATATCCTTATCAAAATGGCCTCTTTACTTAATTTTAGCCATTTATTAGAAATTGGTTAACTATTTGTGTACTACTTTATAATATTACATAAACAATACATTAAACATTACACACACATACATTACTATTATTTATAAATAATTAAAAACTTGTGGTGGAAAAAAACATTCGCATTAGCAGTAATATCTATTAATTTTAAACCAATTAAATGATAATAAGAAAACAGCAAAATAGATAAACTTCTGTAAGTTAGCAAAACAAAAGTACATTCGCAATAAATATATAGATAAGGTTCATTAAAGCAGATAAATTGTTTACCTATAGACATAAGTACTTATATATGCGTGTTAAAAAATAAGTAAAAAGCTAAGTAACTAGTAGATTATCCATTTCTATTAAATAATATGATAATTCAAAATGTATTACAAAGTTATCATAAGACTACAGCAATAGATGAAACTTAGAACATTCATTTATAGTAACAAAAACTGTAGTTTTATATTAATTTATACAAGTCCATTTGTTTGAGCAAAGGTCATTTTGTTAATACAAGTCAATGTATATGTAACTAACCATGTAATAGAGATAAATAATGTTTGGAAAATTTATATAATGGAATAAAACATTAGCTATATATAAGTACCTGAATTTTAATAAATAAGTAAATCAAATTAATGTAACTGAATATAATCATACTAAAATTTAGCCTTTAAAAAAAAAGGTCATAAATAATTTAACTATCAACACATGACAATAAAATTAAGCTCAATATCATTCACAAAGTAATGATTAATAAGTAGTAATAAGTTACCTGAAGTGATTTCCTGTAGTTTACTAGTTGATCCGCAGAAGGATCCCTCGAAGCCATTTTGAAAAAGTAATTTGTACACAACAAAACGGAGCGACGCACTGGACGCGTACCGTAGACGCAAATACCAAAAGTAGATTGCGTTACCCTATTTATAGAGTAGCCAACGATAAGCAACTATCATACCAAACAAGCTGAACGCCTCAGTATATCTAATAAATGTTACGCGCTTATTTGATAACGTATTGATAAATAAGTAACTATTCCAAATATCCAAGCTGACAATCACAAGTTCAATTGGCAACAATAATAGAAGTATTATTTATATTACTTTAAATTATTGAGATATAAGTTTTATACTGTTTTTTTGGTAAAACTTATTAAATTAATTTGTTTATTTTTATGGCCACTTCAAAAGTAATTACGATAGCATTAAGTCTTCTTTAAACTTGTTTATATAGAGTCAACAGAAATTCAGAAAAAAATAATTAAAATAAGAGCACAGACAAAACTTTTGACACTTATTTAAAGTGTCAAAATAGTTTTTTTTTTTGAGTTAAGGATTGGGTCCTTTTAAACTTGCAAGTATCAGAGAGAGAGAGAGATCTCTGTACAGTTTGTGAGAGAGAGTGAGTGTCAGGGTTGCCATCACGTTATTTACTCAACATAGTAGTTAAAAATATCGACTCATATCGATTCTCGAAATCTTCTGACATCGTCAATTTCACATATTGCTCAATTATACGTACAAGATAAGTACTTAAGTTTAAATATCAAGGATTAAAGAATTAACTAGTTCAAGTCTCTCATAGGTGAAAGTGGAACATGACATCCGACTCCAAGGTCACAGTAAGCATAACATGCCTTTATCTATTCCCTACTAGGTGGAGTTAGGAGTCAAAGTTTTTTTTATTATAGTTGGGATGACGACCACGACCAATTTTTTTTATGTATGATAAGGAAATGGTGCATCCACCTTCGCTAATGGTCTATGCTGAGGGAGCATATGTGAAAGATAACAAAATAATTATGCGATCAGATCAGTTAGCCTGTGGTTATTAATTTACTAGGTACTTCAAAATTCAATTCCAATCAATCAACTTTTTTTTCTTTGTATAAATATATACAATACACTATACAAATAAAATACACTACGTAACGTAGTGTGTGTGCATAGCCCATACGCAAGAAGGCAGCATCTCAGTGTATTGTTTGCAGCATATAAGCAGCAAACTACTGATTTTAAAGCACTCCCCAGAGACATACGCGAGGCCGCATGTAACAAGACCACCGCATCTAATCAGCCCTATTATATTATCATAAATGGTAATCATATGATGTCTCGTTGCCGAGTAACATATGTAAAAAGCACCTAATAGAACATTTGGTACGGGTTCAAAACGATCTATATATATTCCTAATAACACTTGCGATAAAAGATTCACTTCACGTATGGCGGATGAGTGTCGGTATTGTGTTTGACTGTAACAATTTGCTGGTTCCCAGAGAGCGAGTATTACAGTATATATATACTAATAACTAATTACAAATTTTTCCAGCATAATGCTGAGTAAACACATTCTATACGCATAAATTATTATAAATTTTGGATGGTAACAATATGTACTTAATACCTATTATTCTGATAGTACATATAATATTGATAAGTGTGTGAATTAATATTAACGTCTTGTTTCTGCCTACCCCAATGGGCGTGACTTATTATGTATATAAAGCCGATAAGAATGAGTTACTAGTATAATTTTTCTACCTAAAATAAGTGAACATTAATATATCTTGACACTATTTACCGTACTTGATCAACAATCTATATGAAGCTGGCTGTATCTGTAACATTGTAATAGAGGCAGGCATAGAGTACATAGCGAAGTAGTCGTAGCATTTCTTTAAATAAAATATCAGCTACGCTAAGTACCTACATATTCACGTTCGTTCATTTATGGTGCAGAAATGGTGCAGTTTTGATGTGCCTCTAAGTAGGTATATATATCAGCTCTAGGTGTATATTATCACATAGGTACCAGCTCGCTAGGTGGGCAAACAACTTCTAATCTAAAATACCGCCTTACTCAAAATGTGTTATCAACTCAATAAATATTATCAAAAAAAAAATCACGATTGATTACAAATAAAAACAAGTTATGTACATACGTACCTACTAAATTTAGTATGCACTATCAGTGTTCGTATTAATTAGTAATTTTGACATTTTTAAACAGAATTGGTTACTATTACCTGGTTAGTAATTATATCATATTAACAAGATCATAATGAAAATGGTTTCACATTTCATTAAGTTTCAAAGTAAATACCTACCTATAATTCTTGCAATATACTCGCAATTATATAGTCTCAATATCTACTTAATATGTACACGGGTACTATAGTTATATTTTTTTTACGACATCAAGAGTTGTATATATAATTATTACTTATTGAATAAACTAATAAAAGAATATTTTTATAGAATGATGCCCTAAAAGTAAATTCTGTCTGTAATAATATCCTTGAACGACAGTGCCTAAACGGCATGTAAATATTTTTATATACCTAATATTTATGAATGTTGTGAATAGTAATATCACAAATAAAGCAACAGGTAATTCACATTAACGTAATAATTTGTGATGTATGTTATTTATCGAGTGGCCTGAGCGGACCTGATAAAGATATTATTGCGGACATATCGAAATTATAGGCCAACTGGATTAGCATTCATTTGGCCTATAATTTCGAGGTATAACAAGACATGTTTTGTTACTACATATCTACTTATGTTTTTTAACAAATTATTAGTAATCCAGTAAGTATAAAGTGAATTTAATTGCTTCGAAAGAAAATATTGCTAGCCGGCTTATTAAAAAAGATTCCCACTTTAAAAGGCTTTCACTTAAAGTCATATTTGCGAGGTATTTTTTTTCAATGCCCATCATCTTACAATCTGTCGAAGACTACTAGCACATATGGACCACAGAATAACATCCTGTAAATAGTAAACATGTTAGTTAAATAGTTGTATGTACCTACCTGTTTTTTTTTAATGGAATGATACACCCGCCTACCTTAATAGCATGCGCTGGCGGAGCACCAGTTTAGTATTAGATCAGGTCCATTAGCCTTCACATGACAAATCACAAGGAACTACGTATCTATAGATATTAAGTAGTAAATTCAGTTGAAACTCGTAACTTGATTCATTGCAATTGACTGCCTGGGAAAAAGCTCCCAAATATAAACTGAACTAGTTACTAGTATGTTGTAGTAATATATTTTTATTAAAAATCATCATTTTATTAAAAATTTTCATTTTTTTGTAAACTGTAATACTAGTGGCCAACCTAATGGTTGACACTGACAACACTTTAACTTTATGTGATTTGTAATACCACCAATGTGTTGTCATTCCAGAGATCTAAAGTGTCCTGTCCCTGTACCCCTGTACTTACTACATAGATTGAAGGATCCTGCCATATCTCACCCTTCGACCGAAACACAATTTATACAAGCTACTTCGTTGCTGAAAACAGAGATGCTCATAGAGACGATTTCGTACAAAGTTTACGTCACTTATAAATATATAGATATTGTTATTGTAATTAAGTGTACCAACTCTTTTTAATCAATGCCTGCTCTCGCTTTTCGTTCGGTCCAACCTATAAGTTATGCGTTCACCAACAGTAGTATTAAATTAGATGAAAACATGAATGTAAAACAGAGTTAGATGATAAATAATGTCTTGAAATTTAGTTATAACACCAAATTCTACTGTGGGTAAAATGATTATTGGACATCTGTCTTATCTGAGAATGGAAATTCTAATTAAGACAGTATTATAATAATAATGACCAGGTCATCGTGATAAAGCGTTGTATAAAATAACAAATTATAAGACTCCAAAACTTTGAGTTTACATATATTTCGCTCATTAACTAAAGAAGGTAAAAAGTTGAAACTAGTATTAAGAATAAGCCTTGTAACAATTCTGACAAATTCTGCCCATCTACAATACAATATAATATATAATTTGTACACATATGTATGTCCTTACCTACCGTTTGAATTTATTTAGTCGGTTTATTTAATTATTAGGTACCTACCTACTGACCTAAGCGACATAATGCAAATGGAATTCTTTAAAGTTTTATATTTATAAAAAAAAAAAAACAAAACAATGTGCGTGCATGTGTGGAGTCATCTCATTAAAAATACGTTTATCTAACTTAATATTCTTTACAACTACGTGAAGAAACTTCGGTGCAGTGAAGTACTTATTTATTTCCTATTTGTTCCTATTTAATATACCTGATTGTTCAGCCTACATACGACACTAAAAAAAGATTCAATATCGAGCAGTAACGGTGAGTGTCCAGGATCGCTTCCTACATCAGCTTGTGTATAACGAAATCGTTTAATTAAATGAGGCGGACGTGTCGGTAAGCCTATAATATTTTTCTATGTAGATATTAGTATATAGCAATTTTAGCATATTCTAGATTTCTAATATACAGTCGGTTATTAATCAATTTACCTGAATGCAACTAACGTGGAGATAAAATCCGATTCGCGCTTTTGTTTGCTACTCCGCTCATCTCCAAAGGGGTATTCCACCCCGTTGGACTGGAGGAGGAAAGTCACATTCGGGCAATCCGATGTCTAACCGACTGTATATGTCATAGTATTTACCTAACTTCGTCCGTTGTTGACAGTTTTACAATTTATTTATTATATTTATTACCGACTGTCTATTATTTAAATTATTGCACTTCTTGTCATGGAATGGATATACACCGTTATAGAATGACTGATGAGGTTAAGCCAACATTATCATTTATTTACATTAAGACTCACTACCAGATGCTTTTGTGTTTTTTATTTATCAGTTATACTTAAACAGCCTCCTCGGGTTCAGTAGGTATATGTATTCTATGTACACATTTAGAAATAGCCAGTGTACCTAATACATACTCACATGTCTATAGTATTTAGAATTCTCTGAACAAACGCGATATAATATGAGAGTAGATATAATATTGACCTACTGCGAGTACTTCAAGGCAAACATCTTTGCTAAAATTGGATTTAGTGCGTACAACTGCTTATTCCTATCATAAAGGGTGTATTTACACATACTTGCAGTATATATATATATAGAATAACTATACTGTTTATATTTCTTTTTATGTGGATTAATCTAAAAGTATGGTATAATTATATATATAGCTAGCTGCGCTAATGTACACACTAGCAAGACATTAGTGGATGAGAACAAAATGAAGACGTAATCTGATCTGTAAGTATCGTGGCGAATTCAGTAGGAATTAATTACCACGATTATTAACCACGATGATAGGGTATTGATATTGATAGTGCTCGAGCCCCATGGAGACTTAATAACAATACTAACAATCCCCTGACTTAGTAATGACAATAACAATCCCCTCCTCCT